TTAAATCGAGGTGCAGAAATTGAGTTGCCTAAGGCCACCTCCAGACTGCAGAAGCTTTTGGGGTGACCTCTGAAGTTTTCCCTACTTCTCCCTCATTGTATTTCTCAGCATAGCAGGAGGAAGTGCTGAAATAAAGGAGAATCTCCTATGAGCATCGTTTAACTCACTGAACTGAAAAAAAAAAAAGTCCTTCAGCAGAGCTGGGAGAGTGCTGTTCTCCCCTAAAACTGGTACAGCAGGGGAACATTTTTCTCATCTTAACAGCCCTTTGCCTTTGTGTAAAGGAATGAGAAAGAATTCAGGGTATGTTGGCTATCTTGTCCTACTTGTTTTCCTTACGCTCATTAACCTTTGTCCCCATCTCTTCCCTTTCTTAACCAATAGGGTAATATTCTGTCAGGCATTTGAGAAAATGGATGTTTGCCTCAATAAAGTCTTGTACAATTGTAAAGTGGAAAGAATCATCACTGAATACAGGAAGATTTCTAAACATACTTATATGCTTGAATTGTTCAATTCCAAAGCACTGAATTTTTATTTTTCTGTACGATTCTGTCCCATAATGAGAGACAAAAACTAAACTTTGAAGAATCAATCTAAAAAAAAAAGGATGTAAGGCTACTCCTCACCTTATGACCGTAACAGCCCAAAAATTCTATTGCTAAGTGAGACATTTGTTAAGAGAGTTTTGCCCCATATTACAACCTAAGTGTCACAGTTGTTAAGTGGATCGCTGCAGTTCTTAAGTTAGTAACATGGCTGTTATGTGAATCTGGCTTCCCCATTGACTTATCAGAAGGTCGTAAAAGAGGATCACATGACACCGTCATAAATATGAACCAGTTGCCAAGCTTTTAAATTTTGATCACATGACCATGGGGAGGCCGCAATGGCGGTTAATGTAAAAATGGTCATGTTGCTTTTTTCAATGTTGTAACTTTGACTGGTCACTAAATGAACTGTCGTTAAGTTAAGGGCTAATTGCAGTTAGAAGAAATAACAAAAGAGTAACAAAATCACACAAGGTGATCACATAACCCCAGGACACTGCAACTCTCATAAATACATGCCACTTGCCAAGCGTCTGAATTTTGATCATGTGACCACGGGGATGCAAAAATGGTCATAAGTGTACAAAAAAGGTCACAAGTCACTTTTTTCAATGCCATCATAATTTCAAACAGTCACTAAATGAATGGTTGTAAGTCAAGGACTACCTGTACGATGCTGAATGGGAAAGAAGTTCAGAGACTCTTGGCAGGGTTATTGATCTCTCGTGTCTTCAATTTTGTAACCCAAAATTTCCCCAGATTGCTTTAGGACTGTAGGGTAAAAACATGCATTTTGGGAAAAGAACGATGAACACATCAAAAGAATCCTCCTTTCGCAGCCTTCTGAAATGCCAGTGGGTTTTTGTTTTTTTTTTTAAAAAATCACGGTTGGTAATTTTTGGAATGCAGTTCCTACTTTTGATCTTCAAGTACTTCAAGTATTTCAAATTGAGTATTTGAGCATTCCAATGGTAGGTAGGTAGGTAGATAACCTTTACTTTATTGTCATTTTTTTTTACCGTGGGCACAATAGCACACATTAAAAATGAAATTTAGTTGCTTGCCCTCGAAGTGTACACATACATAACGTACAACCTACGTATAGACCTACACCAGTGGTGGCGAACCTATGGCACGGGTGCCAAAGGCGGCACTCAGAGTCCTCTCTGTGGGCACATGCGCCGTCGCCCCAGTCCTAGGCCTTCAGCTGGGTTTTATAAAACCTTTTCGCTTTAGGCCTCCGCTGCCATGTACAAAAAAAAAAAAAAGGTTCAATCAGTCAATTTCAACTTCTCGCGGGAAAAAAAAAGATCTTGCAAAGTTGGAATTGATTGATTGAACTTTTTAGTCCCACCCAGTCTGCTGTTACCACTGCACCCATGTCCACCCAATGGGCCACGCCCACCCAATGGGCCACACCCATCCGGCACTCGACGATGCATAAGTGGGTTTTGGGTTGCAGTTTGGGCACTCAGTCTCTAAAAGGTTCGCCATCACTGACCTACACCCTTCCATATAAGTAACATATAAACATTAACCACTGTCCGTCTTGAATACATAATGGAAGGAGGAAGCTTTAGAGTTCACAAGGTTAATACTGTATGGAACAAAACCCTGACTGAATCTGGATGTTCTGCTTCTGATACCACGGAGCCTCCTCCCAGAAGGTAACAAGGAAAACAGGTCTTGAAGAGGATGTGTAACATCCCAGAAAATCTTGCAGACCCTGCTCAAGCAACACTTATATGCCATGTCCTGGATGGGAGGGAGGGAACTGCCAATGATCTTTTCAGCCATCCTCACTACTCTCTGCACTGCCTTCCTGTCTGAAGCAGTGACCCTTCCAAACCAGACTGTGATGCTGTATGAAGAAGAAGAGGGGGACAACTTATTTTCCAAAGCACCAGAGGGCAGGACAAGAAACAATGGATGGAAACTAATCAAGGAGAGAAGCAACCCGCAATTAAGGAGAAACTTCCTAACAGCGAGGACAATTAACCAGTGGAAGAGCTTGCCTTCAGAAGTTGTGGGTGCTTCATCACTGGAAGTTTTTAAGAAAAGACTGGGCAGCTATCTGTCTGAAATGGTAAAGGGTCTTCTGCTTGAGCATGGGGTTGGACTAGAAGACCTCCAAGGTCCCTTCCAGCTGTATTCTGATTAGAAATATGATTGCTCATGTGCCAAAAATAGGAAAAAAACTCCTCTACTAGTGAGAGGATTTCATAAACTGGAGGAGGTTTGCAGAAGTAGTACAGAAGGGGGAGCAGAAGTCTAGGGGGGGGGACCCCACAAATGTCCCAGAGTAAAATCAAGGTGCCCGGTGGCAGTGAAGAATGGAAAGAAGAGAAACAAATTAAATCAACATCTGGATTATGGCATGGCTGATTGAAACCAGAAGTGGGGCATTTTGTACCTAGCCCTTTCCTGTGGGAGCCAACATCCTTTCTGATTCTTGGGGATTTTTTTTTGCTTTTTTAGGGGGTTTCTCAGGATGTCTTACAGCAATGCAGTGACATTTTAAAAAAGGCAAGAGGGGGCTGTAATGTTTGACTGCTTCTTGCTTGTGTTAGCCTTATGCAGTATAATTGTTTTAGCTGTTTGCAGGTAAAAGCTTCTCATTACGTCCTGAACTAGTTTCACCCCAGGGCACTGCGGCAAATGTTTGCAGGAAACCGAGGCTAGAGTCTAGACCAGTGATGGCGAACCTTTTAGAGACCGAGTGCCCAAACTGCAACCCAATACCCACTTATGCTACGTCGGGTGCCGGGTGGGTGTGGCCCATTGGCTGGGCGTTCAATCAATCAATTCCAACTTTGCAAGTTCTTTTTTTTTCCCTGCAAGAAGTTGAAATTGACTGATTGATTGAACCTTTTTTTTTTGGCACACGGTGGTGGAGGCCTAAAGCGAAAAGGTTTTATAAAACCCAGCTGAAGGCCTAGGACTGGGGCGACGGCGCGTGTGCCCACAGAGAGGGCTCTGAGTGCCGCCTCTGGCACCCGTGCCATAGGTTCGCCGCCACTGGTCTAGACTAAGCCGGTTCTTGGCTTGGGGTATTGGCAACAGCGTGAGGGTCGGGGAGACTGGATCCTGGGGACTGCTGTGAAGTAACTCTGCCCACAACCAAGCACCCTTTGGCAGGTCTGAGGTCCTTTTTGAAGCTTCTGTTTTGTTTTTAATGTAGTTATTCATTGGCAGAGACAAGAACACAAGAATTACCTACAGGGGGCAATCTAGCATGCACATAATTTAATTGCACATTCGACTCGGGCATGTGAGCGGGTATCCTAATCCTATACCAGGGGTAGGCAACCTCGGCTCTTTTATGACTCATGGACTTCAACTCCCAGAATTCCTGAGCCAGCTATGCTCCATGAGTCATAAAAGAGCCGAGGTTGCCTACCCCTGTCCTATACACATACAACATACTTTTGCGCATTCTACCTATAGACTTTGCCCAGTTTTTAACTAGTTACTCGATTCACCCTTTTCCCCGGAGTCTCAGATTTCATTGAAACACAAGCGATCTGAAGTGATGAATGCGATAACTCACATGCGGAAACACACACACAACACACAACTCTCTCTCCTTTAAAATCAAGGTTTGCACGATGGGCATCTACACCAGCTAATTGATTCAGGACACTGTTTGATTGCGTAAAGTCAGACAGATGCATGAGCGCTGAGAAAAAAAACATGCATTTTGCAAATGGGATGTGAAGGAAAGGAGAGAGAGAGAGAGAGAGAGAGAGAGAGAGAGAGAGAGAGAGAGAGAGAGAGAGGTGGGGGATGGATATACAATAAAGATAGATGATGGATGGACAGATATAAATGCAAGATAGATGATGATAGACCGACATACTAGATGATGGGTGGGTAGACAGGCATAATAGATGACAGGTGGATAGGATAGGATAGGATAGGATAGGATAGAATAGGATAAGATAGGATAGGATAGGATCAGAGTTGGAAGGGAGCTTGGAGGTCATCTAGTCCAATCCCCTGTTCAGGCAGGAAACTCTATACCATGTCAGACAAATAGTTGTCCAATCTCATCTTAAAAACTTCCAGTTTTAGAGCATTCACAACTTCTGGAGGCAAATCGTTCACTGATTAATTTTTCGGTCAGGAAATTTTTTCCTAGTTCCAGGTTGCTTCTCTCCTTGATTAGTAGATATATAGAGAGAGAGGAGAGAGAGAGGTAGGCAGACAATTTGGGCAATCAAATAATTTCTGAATGAGTTATAATAACATTTTGCCAGATGCATTGGGCGCCGAGAAAAAGGGAGGGAGGGAGGGAGAGAGGCGGCACTCTGTTCATGTTCAGAAACCGCTTTCTTCGTTGCCAGGGCAGGAAGTTACCGCCGCACAGGAAGCGGGCCAGGGAACAGCCACCTTCTTTCGCTCTCAGAGATGCGCCGCCCAGCTGGGAAACTCCGTCTCTGCGTAACCAGTCGGGCGCTTCCGCTTGGCTCTAAAATGGAAGCTGAACCTTGAGCGCAAAGGCTGAGTTTTGGGTGAGTTCCTCGCGGGAGGTGTCCGGACAGAGAAAAGAGCGTCCCCCCCTTCTCCCCCCACCTCCGAAAGCCAGCACGGAGGAAGTAGCAGCAGCAATGGGAACTGATGGATTGGGGGTCCTCGGCGGTGTGGGGGCTCCTTCGGCGACTCCAGCGGGTAAGGCGCCCGGCGGAGTCCGCAGAGCGCACGGTCTGGGAACGCATCTCTTTCGGGGACTTCAATTCTCTCCCCTTTCGTCGTAAATGGGGAAAGGGCGGTCGTATTGGGCTGGAGGGAGGGGGGCGCTTGGGCAGTTCCCCCTTCCCCCCCCAGGTCATCGGGGCGGCGACAAGGGCAGGATCGCGAGCGGTGGAGCTCCCCTCTCCAGCTGCCCACTGGCTCGTGGAGGGGGGGGGGATCTCGGGGGCGCCGGGTTGGCGATCCCGAGGACGAAAGGAGAACTGGATGACTCGGGGGTAAGTTTGGGGCACAAGGGGGGTCTCTTCGGTCAGATCGGTGGGGAAGGGAAATGCCCACCCCCTCCCTTCCCCGCAAAAAGTGGAGGTGGGCACATCGTTAGCCAAGACTTGTTTGCCAAGAGATTGTTGGTTGTGAAGGATCCTCTTGTTGTCGTTTTTTCTCTTTGTTGTTTTCTTTTTGAAGCTTTGCTTTTGGGACGCTGGCCCCCCTCTCTGGTGAGAGAGTCCTATTTTGGACTGACTTGACTTTTGTTCTGGGATATTTATGTTCTGTCCTTTGGTGAAAACAAACACAGAGTCAACTTTTTTGTTCCTCCTTTCATTTTTCCACACTAGAGAAGCAGTATGAAAATAGTGAGAAATCCCCTTGACATGGAAGTGGCCTGTTTGTATTTCCTGGCCTTTTAGGTTCCAGTTGCCAGGAGTTCCTCCGTCCCACAGTCTGGGTAGGTTCCCAATCCAGTGGGATGAACAGCAGCTCTCCTCCGTGGATCCTTCTGCCACCATGAATTGGACCAGAAGACCTCCAAGGTCTCTTTCAACTCTATTCTCTGAATTGAAAGTGTCCTTTGGTGTTTACATTTGCTTTCCTTTCACATCCACTGATCTTTTAAACTTTTACATCCTCTGTTGAACTGAGACACGGAGCCTGCCTTCTCCTTGATCTCCCTAAGGAAAGTCAGGATAATAAATCTGACAAATACCATATTTTTAAGCTTAAAAAAAAACTAGTCTGTGAGAGAGGTTGGCATGAGCGAAAAACAATTGGTTCAAAGTCTCTGGCCGGGGCTTTAAATCTGATTCTGTGCTTTAAGGATTACTTCATGGTGGCCCTGTCAATGCTTTTATTCCTGTATCCTTTCCCGTGCTTTGCTCTTACTAATACAGATAGTCCTTGACTTACAACCACAATTGTGCCTAAAATTTCTGTTAAGTGAGACATTTGTTATGTGAGTTTCGCCCCATTTTACCACCTTTCCTGCCACAGTTGTTAAGTGAATCACTTCAGCTAATAAGTTAGTAACCCCGTTGTTAAGCGAATCTGGTCTCCCCATTGACTTTGCCTGTCAGAAGATCACAAAAAGGTGATCACATGACCTTGGGACACAGCAATGGTCATAAATATGAACCAGTGGCCAAGCGTCTGAATTTTGATCACGTGATCATGGGGAATGCAGCAAAGGTCGTAACTGTGAAAAACGGTCTTAAGTCACTTTTTTCAGTGCCGTTGTAACTTTGAACGGACACTAAATGAACTGTTGTAAGTTGAGTACTGCCTGTAGGACAAAATTACTGTATTTATCTTTGAAGTCAAGCCTTTTCCTCCTCCCTCTTCCCGGAGAGTGAGATCAGCATTATGTAGGCTCTGGGGAATAGAAACTTATTTCTTCAAGCTTAACATTTAGATCATGGGTGTCCAACTTCTTTGCTTGTCTTGGGCTGCATATAAAATATCTAATATAGTTAATGGATAGAAATAATATAATAAGGTTAAAATTATTGTGGGGCCGCATTGCAAGCTCTCTGGGGCCACATGCAGCCCACGGGCTGCATGTTGGACATACCTGATTTGGATAAAGTCAAGTGCTTAGATTATGCATGTGGGAAAGATCTGTAATTTGATTTCTACAGAATTTCTTTTTCTCATTTGTATTCCCTACACCAGGGGTATCAAACTCGCCACGTCACATGACGTGTCGTGACGTATCGCGACTTTTTCCCCATTGCTGGAGCTGGGGTGGGTGTGGTTTTGGCATGATGCATCTGGGCCACGGGCCTGCAGTTTGACACCCCAGTCCTACACAGTTTCATACAAATAAGGGTTGCAGGTCAGCACTGTTGCAAACTTTTTATAATTTTTATAATAAGTGCAGCTTTATTTCACATGAGTACCTTATCACTGCATAAGCTGGTGTTTGTAAATAGTCTGAATCCAGTTGCAGTTTGCAAATAGAGGGAGAGAAAAATCAATGCATTCTTATACAGTAGGAGGGGGCACCCGGTCAGCTGTTCTGAATATTGCCACCTCCTCCATTCTAAGTCCCCCTTCCTTTTTGCAGCATGTGACCTTGAATAACAATAGCACTTAGACTTATATACGGCTTCATTGTGCTTTACAGCCCTCTCTAAGGGGTTTACAGAGTCAGCATATTGCCCCCCAACAATCTAGGTACTCATTTTACCGATCTTGGAAGGATGGAAGGCTGAGTCAACCTTGAGCCGATGCTGAACATTATTAGGGGTGTTTTGCAAAGTCAGCCGGATGTTTAGACTGGATTTAGCATTTTTATCATCCTACTGAGTCCTTCCCAAGGTTGTGGGATAGGCAAATGTTGATAGTTCATGGTTACTCAGGGACTGGAAAGCTTTAAGCGATGGCATCCTGCGTGCTTTTGTTCCCGTTTTCACTTTGCTTTCATCTCTCAACCACAGCTCTTTCAATCAGGCTGATTTCTCTTCCTTGCAGCTTTTTAGCTACATAACAACCCAGGTCTCCAGTGGCTGGCAGACACAAGCTCCCGTCATGCCAAACAACAAGATCCTGGATGAATTTGCGGTGCCCGAGGAGGCCCAAGATATGCTGATGGAACACCGTCCCCAAATTGAACGCCTCTTTCGGGTGGAGCTGAATGTCGTGGGGGTGCTAGGATCAGACCCCAAAGGAGCAAGGAAGATCTGGTTGCAGTTACAAGGAAGCCAAGAGAATCTTCATAGTGCAAAGGTCAGGCAAACTTTTTGATCCTCAATCCAAATTAATTCCCATAAAGCAAGTTATCACGGTCTTCTCTTGTTTGCCATTTGGAACCAAATTTCCCTAGCTACCTGGAGGTATATAGGTACCGTATTTCCTTGAAAATAACACTCGGCTTTTTTTTCTTTTTCTTTTACCTTCCAAAAGAGGCATTAGAACTTATTTTTTTTTGGGGGGGGGAACCATCTTTTCCACGGTCTCACCTCGCACGAGTCGTCCTCGGCCTCCATTTTGCTTTCAGACTGTAGCTCGGTTCTCGGATGGCACAGCACTTTCTGGAAGGCCTCTGATGGTGAAATAGAGGCTGGGGACGATGCATACGAGGTGAGACCATGGAAAAGACACCACCTCAAAAATAAGACCTGATGCCTCTTTTGGAGGGGAAAAAAAAAAGGACCGGGTCTTATTTTCAGGGAAACACAGTACCTATATACCTCCAGGTGGCCAGGAAAATTTGTTTCCGAATGGCAGAAAATGACTTGGCCTCAGCCTTGAAGTCACTATGAATTGAGGCTGAGTTGAAGGAGATTCCTCCTTAAGGCTTCTACCTTACATAACAGAGCAGAACAGCAACAGAACAATCATTACAAGATCTCAAAAACAGTTGGAACAAGGGTAATAGCGGATGACTTTTGGATTGTTGGCAATTGTATGAACTGGCCTAGAAAGGTGCCAGGAGTTGAGATTATTCTCTTTGGCTTTTCTGAAGTTGTTTCTCTTAAAAATGTTGAGGGTTCAACAGACGCACCCTCTATACCTCTCTCTAATTTATCCTCCATCCTTTTAGAGGGGCAGGTTAAAGATGCTATGTTCTATCCTCATCACGGTAAACTGTTTTCTCTAGAATCAGATCTTGAAGCACTATCCCATGCTGGAATGGAGAAGAAGCCTTACTCATTGTGGCAATAATGCTGGTTGATATCTATGGAGATTCTCAATCATCCAAATCATGGTTGTCCCCCAAAGGTGCTTTTCAAAAGGCAAGTGGGCTTTCTTGTTTTGTTTTTTCATGAAAACGTTTCACTTCTTATCCAAGAAGCTTCTTCAGTTCTGACTGAATGGTGTGTAATGGAAGGATTTATATTCTTGGTAGTCATCTGGTTGTTAGCACTCTGAGAGTTGTTGAGGCCACTTGGGGTTTAAGTGTCACCTCAGGGTTATCTGAATCAGAGTGCAAATGGATGAGGAATCTTCTTGGGTCTGCTGAAAGGACTGTATTGTAGACAGGAGATATAGGTGGTGTAGACTGTTGAGAGAGGGCTATTCAGTTTTAATGTAGATGGCCTCTTTGACCCCTCTTTCAAACCAGTGGTCCTTGTCCAAAATGTGAACTTTGCTATCTTCAGAAGAGTGACCTTTGACTTTCAGATAAAATGACTGCTGAATCTTGTCTTGATAGCTTTGTTCTGCTGTGTAGAACAGTGAGATATGCAGAACTTTATATTGGAGAAACAAAACAGCCACTTCACAAACGCATGGCACAACACAAGAGAACAGACCCATTCAATCAGAACTGAAGAAGCTTCTTGGATTAGAAGCGAAACGTTTTCATGGGGAAGAAAAAACCCAAGAAAGTCCAGTTTCCTTTTGAAAAGTACCTTTGGGACAATACTGATTGGTGTGTTTTTCTCCAAATTTGGGATGAAATATTTAATGTGAAAGGCCAAGGTGGATTAATTCTCTAGCTTAATTAACAGGGCATCTTATACTGGCCTACTTAGAAATAAATCTCATTTAATTCCAAGAGAGTTCATCCTTGGTCAAGCAGGTGAGAATCGTACCCTCAAAATTTAGCATAGTTTCTAATCTGCTTCACTAAAGGTGTATGTCTTTAGATTGAACAATTTTCATTTTAATTTTTCACTGCAGGAAATGTCTATCGAGATTCTCAGTCATCCAAAACATAGTTATCTCAAAAATGCTTTTTCACGAGGCAAACATCTTCTTTGAAGATGTTTTGCTTCTCATCCAAGAAGCTTCTTTAGCTCTGACTGGATGGTGGGGAATGGAAGAAAAAACATCATGTAGCCAAGAAGGCTCCTCACATTTGCACTACTCAGGAGACCCTGAGGACATAGGTAAAGCTCCAAATGGCCTCAGTGACTCTCTAAAAGAGTGCAAATGACTAGCTGTCTGCAAGGAGTATAAATCCTTCCATTTCCCCACCATCCAGTAAGAGCTGAAGAAGCTTCTTGGATGCGAAGCGAAATGTCTTCAAAGAAAAACAAGAAAGTCCAGTTGCCTCATGAAAAAACATCGTTAGGACACTGCAGGAAAAGGGTGCAAAAACTGTTAATGAGCATTTTGTGGAAAGAAATAGAGGAATTTCCAATGTTCTAAATTTGATTTGCTGTATTTCCTTAGTTACATCATTTGCCTTATCTTTGCTGTATAAACATAGGCAGTTCCTTATTTACATAATGCTGTACTTTATAATTCTGTGCAGTCCAGTGTGGATTAAAATTGGCTTATGCAAGGATTCTTAAGATCCCTGCCCAGGTCAGCAGCCACTTTTATCTTTCAATGCTTTTTTTTTCTCTTAGTTGCCCAAAATATTTTAAGCGAATATAGCTTATTTGAAGTAGCTGAAACAATACTTACGAATAGATTCAAAACTTGGCTTGGAAACTATTGATGTTCTTATTGTTGTTGTTATTATTATTATTTTACTTCATTGCACAGTCAGCCAGATGTTCAGACTGTATTTGGCATTTTTGTCCACTTATTGCAGACATGTCAAACACAAGGTCCGGGGGCCAGATGCGGCTTGCGAAGTGGTTTCATGTGGCCCACGAAGCCATCCTGGAAACAGTGAGGGAACGGCCCCCACTGCCTTGGCCCTGGCCCAGGCCAGCCAGGAGCCAATGTACAATTTTGTGGTGGCCATCTTGGTGCTTTCCCCAGTGGACCATGCCTTGGCACTTTCCCCGGTCCCACCCCCTTCTGCCAGAGACCCTCAGATCTGTCCCACTCCTGCCCAGGCCCCAATAGGCACCCTTGACGCGAATGATATAGAACTGGCCACGTCCATCCAGTAGGTCACACCCACTCCATCCACGCCCATCCAGTAGGCTGCACCCACTCTGGTCACACCCACCCGCGCCCCCCAGGGCAACCGCAATGCTGATGCGGCCCTCAATGAAATTGAGTTTGACACCTCTGACTTATCGAATCCTTTCCACGGATCTGGGATAAGCATATGTGACTGGTGCTGTTATAGATTCTTTTTCCTACTTCCTTCTTCCTCTTCTTCCTACTCCTCCTTCCTCTTCCTTTTCCTCCTCTTCCTCCTCTTCCCTTCTCCTTCTCCCCTCCTTTCTTCTTCCAGCTATCTTGCCATGGGGATATTCTAGGTGGCTCACAATCATAAAAAAATGAAGAAATAAAAAGGAAGGTTAAATAAAACAAAAATAAAATAGAACAATAAAACAACCCAGGGAAAAGAACCAAAGAAAATACATCAATATGATTAATAAAAAAAAAATTGGACGAGGGGGGAGCAGAGAACGGCGTGGGGAGAGGAGGTGGCATCTGCTATAAATCTAGCACCCGCCTCCAGAGTTATTATTATATAATATATAATTACATATATTATAAAAGTGCCTATATAGCATAAATATAATGGTTTATTTAACTGCATGATTCGAAACGGAAGAAAAATAGTGGTGCTGTGAGCTATTACTATGCCAATTTTTAGCAAACCTAAGAAATAATACAATTACATTGGTTATACATGTGCTTATGAACCCAAACTACAGAATTGGCCCATAGCAACTCATACTGTGCCAGATCTCTATCTCCAGGGTTTTTTTTTTGTCATAGAACGCCCAGAACGGAGTTCCGGCACCTTTTTTGGATATAACCTTGTAGGGCAGGCAAGGCGGGTTATATGACGTGTGTGAGTTCCGGCACCTTTTCTTTTTACAAAAAAAGCACTCTCTATATCTCTATCTCTACCTACCAACCTACCTACCTACCTACTTACCTATCTATCTAGGGCAGACATGTAAAACACAAGGCCCGGTGGCCGGATGCGGCCCACGAAGTAGTTTCATGTGGCCCGTGAAGCCATCCTGGAAACAGTGAGGGAACGGCCCCTGCTGTCTTGGCCCAGGCCCAGGCTGGCCAGGAGCCAATGTACAATTTTGTGGTGGCCATCTATGCTGAAACGCATTCAGTCTTAGCTCCACAAAGCTGTCTGGAAACAGCGAGGAACCAGCCCCTGCCGCATTGGCCCTGCCCCCTGGGTGCATGCTGGGGAGGTGACACCTCCCCAGCTGCGTTTCTTGCCTGTTTTTCTCCCTCCCTCATCTCAAATATTTTCCCACCACTCTGTACTTAGGAAAGAAGGAAGGAAAGAAGGAGAGGGAGGGTCTGAGGGAAGTCCTACCTTAGTCCTGCCCTGCTGCCCTTTCACCATCCCCTTGCCCCCTCCTCCTGGACTATCCTGGGGGTCTCCCATCCTATTGCTAAGAAAGCTTTGGATACAAAGCCGGGTCTCCTCCCATGGAGAGGGAATGGGACTCCCTCTGACTTTGCCCTTGTACCCATCATGAGCAACCCGGCTAAGGAGAGCAAGCATACCAGCAGCAGCCTTGAGGAGGAAGTAAGTGCAGCTGGGCGCCCCCTTGGGGAAGTGGGGCTGGGCTTGGGGCCACGGGTGCTCGAGGACCAGGCTGGGTATTTGACCTCTGCTGCCCAGGGCTCCGGGCAACCCGCACCACCATCCAGCCCTCCCCCCCGCATGGCCTGAGAGGAATAGTAAGGCTCCTCCAGTGGACCATGCCTCGGCACTTGCCCTGGTCCCACCCCCTTCTGCCAGAGACCTTCAGATCTGTCCCACTCCTGCCCAGGCCCCCACAGGCACCTTTGACGCGAATGATGTAGATCTGGCCATGCCCACCCAGTAGGCCACACCCACTCCATCCACGCCCACCTAGTAGGCCGCACCCACCCTGGCCACACCCATCCGGCCCCCTGAGGGCAACCGCAGTGCTGATGCGGCCCTCAATGAAATTGAGTTTGACACCCCTGATCTAGAGAATGACCATATTGCATCTTCCTATGTTTTTCAGGAATTCATCAAAGGTCTTTGTACCCCAGAGCTTCAGGACGAAGTACAGTATCCGAAAGACATGCAGTGCATCTTCTTAGGTGCCCATGGATTATTTCTGGACTGCCTGATTCGGGGGACCTCTGCAAACCTCACCTTTCTCCATCCGGGCACCTTGTTGATCTCAGGGTTGGCAGAAGCTTTTGTCATGGCTCAGAGCCGGATCCAGGAGTTTGTGGGGAAACACCAGAAGAACCCTAAGCTGCCAGAAGAACAGGAAGCTCAGGTCAAACGGTCCTTCCGGGAATTGGTGGAGAATTATGATGACAAACATGCCATGGATCTTTTGATCTTGCCCACCTCGGTCAAAGAGGAATTGCTTAATTTGGTCAAGGAGATAAGGGAGGAAGACCCAGAGGAGGGGCAAAGGAATGGCTATAGGATACCATCTGGTTTTGGGAGAGATTGTTCATTGGGGTGGGAAGCCAACGTTGCGAATAGTGGCGGATCTGGGTCTCCAGATAGGCCTCAACCTGTCTTTGGCATACATGCAGAGCTCAATCGAGTCCAGGGACAGAGTAGAACTAGAAACTCCGGCCCTGACTGGCCTATAGAATTTACCAGGGCACAAGAATCTTTTCACAAAGCTGAAGATTTGATGCAACTACCGTACTCAGATAGGCCTTGGGATGCTGGGACAGATTTGCCTATTGTGGATGCAAAATCTCAAGACCAAAAACATCTTCATGTCCCACGGGATGACTTTTCAAGAAGTTCTGATGAGGCCAAATTGCACACTAAGCCACAGGAACATCTGTCTGACTTGAATGGTTCTCGGCATTGGCTGGAGGTAATGACCACTAAGAATTCTGGGCTTCCCAAGAGTTCCCCTAAACTGATTCCAGCTACCTCTGAGCTTCAGATTCTACCTGGATACAAAGGCCTCACAGAAAGCTTGGAGGATCATCAAGCAGAAGAGAAGAATCCTCTTTGGGCAACAGAATCATGCTCCGTTAGTTTGCCTGAGGAAACCACCGAGGAGGAGGCAACATCTGACATTTTGCTGTCGTCATGGACTGAAAAAGAGTTCAAAATGAGGCTAAACTTCTTTAAAACTATGGGCTATGAGGAGTGTGTGGTCAAAAAGATATTATTGGAAGGTGGAGTTCAGGAAGCCCCTTCAACCATCTTGGATAGAGTCCAGATGATGGAGGCAGGCTTGTCTCAAAAAGAAGACATCTCCCCATCCCAACGACGAGGCATCTCCCCATCCCAACGACGAGGTCTCGCTGCTTTGTCTCTGGAAGACACTTATGATGAAAACAGTTATGTCAAGGAACTGATCAAAACAGCAGTGGTCAACTGCGGCCATTGCCCCAGCAAGATCCCCACAGAAATACAAACAGGAGCCCCATTGGCAAGTCTCCTGAGGCAGCTAAATGAGAAAGGGAAATGCCAAGATGAAGGCGAGAGTGCGATAGGGGGGTCATCAACAAAGCCAGAACATGGAGGTCAGCTTGGCATCCAGAGGGCAACCATTTTGAATCATGGGGAATCTTCTCAGCAAAGGACTCATCCGGAGGAAAGGTGGAATGGTACACTTTCAAATCACAAGGGTGTCCATGTTCCAATAAGTAATCCTGGAGTTCCCAGATTGTTGCCTATTACTTCTCCTATTGCTAGTTTTTTGTCCTCCCTATCGGATTCTGAGGGGACCCAGTCAACAGAAAGCACCAACATGGATACTCTTCAGCAGGGTCCTGTTTCTACGGTAACTGGAGCTCAGCGCTTTGAGGAGGCTCTTAAGACTGAGTTCAAACTCACGTTGGCCAACACACCTGGGAAGAAGAATTTGCGAATGGTCATTATTGATGGTAGCAACGTGGCCATGATGTGAGTTGGGTTTGGGGAAGAAAATCTGATACAATCTAATTTTTATTACCACAGCCTCCATCCACTTTTCCATTCCATTTCTCTGTAAGATGTGATTACAGAGGTACATTGCTGGCCGCTAATACTGTCTAGTGCTCTGCAATAAATCACAAAATCATATTTGGTTTTCAGAATACAGCTAATACTTGACTTAAAACAGGTCATTTAGTGACCGTTCAAAGTTACAGCTGTCACACTTATGACCATTGCAACATCCTTATGGTAACATGATCAAAATTCAGACCCTTGGCAACTGTTTCATAGTTATGACAGTTGCCGTGTCCTGGGGGGGGGGTCACGTGACCACATTTTGCAACTTTCTGTCAAGCAAAGTCAAAGGAGATGCCAGATTCACTTAACAACCATCTTACTAACTTAACGATTGTAGTGATTCACTTAACCACTATGGCAAGAAAGGTCATAAAATGGGGCAAAACTCAATTAACTGTCTCACTTAGCAACAGAGTTGTGGTTGTAAATCAAGGACTAGCTGTATTTTTCAAGCAGGCCAACAAGCAACTTTGAAATGCCCCCAAGGCAGAAAGTTTTAGTATCCATAGTCTTAATCTTTTAAGAGATTTTCATACTATGGATACTAAAAATGCCACTGTCCTAGGTCAGGTTCTCCTGCTTGAGAGGGGGCTGGACTAGAAGACCTCCAAGGTCCTTTCCAGATTCTATTCTATTCTATTCTATTCTATTCTATTCTATTCTATTCTATTCTATTCTATTCTATTCTACTCTATACTCTACTCTACTCTACTCTACTCTACTCTACTCTACTCTACTCTACTCTACTCTACTCTACTCTACTCTACTCTACTCTACTCTACTCTACTCCAATCTACCCTACCCTACCCTACCCTACTCTACTCTCAACCTTGGCAACTTTAAGACATATGGACTTCAACTCAGAATTCCACAGCCAGTTTTTATTTTATTTTATTTTATTTTGATTTAGTTAATTCACATTATTATTCAGCTTTCTAAAACTGCCCAGTTTCTGAACAACTCTAGGATGTGTACAAATTGAAACTCAGAGTGATAGAAATATATCAAACAGTAGACAAGGATGATGTTTATACTGAGGGAATAGATACAAGAGCTTATCACAAAGGGAGCCCCCAACCCATCCAAGCCTAGGGAAAGATCCAGGTCTTCAAAACTGTAGTACTGTGGCAGAGAAGACAAACTTCTTAAATCCCATCAGTTGCCATATAATCGTGGGGCTGCATTCTGGATCAGCTGAACCTTTCAGTAACGTTTTGTGCAGTGATTCTTTCTAGCATGGAAATTGCTGGTTCCCACATTCTTTGTCCCAGCATTTTCACCTAGCTTTGATGCTCCCAACCCTGGTCTACATTCAAGACAAGGCTAACTCTTTTCATCAAACGTAGAAAGGAGAAGGAGACACGCAAATCTTACGAGTTTGCATACAACATAATGAGATCTCCATGGAGACTCCAGTGAAACAAGCAGTAGAATTTCTGCATCCCATTTCTCCCTGCTGGCTAAGTTTTCCCTTGGACTGAAGTTAGAAGTAGATTTGCCCTAATTTTGATTCGAGTTAATCATGTTCCTTTGAATTCATGTAATTTTAATGTATTTTCAAGGTATGGTATTAAATCATACTTTATGAAGAGCATTGCGGTTAATCTGGGTAGCTGAGGAGTAAACTGTTGTCACTGCTAATGAGACGAGGTCAATTCACTTGCCAAAAGAAGAAAGAAAATTGGGATGAATGTGTGCACCAGATTATATCTTTTTTATATATGTTATATTATACCAGTGGTTCTCAACCTTTTTAATGCCGCGACCCCCAACCGGTCGTAAGTCGAGGACTACTCAACTGGTGCAGCACCTTTTGCAGAATGGGACTTTTGGTGGACTCAACAGGGCAGAGACAGCCTGGACAATTCCTATTGGCTTTTGAAAGCCAATAGAATTAGACTCTATTCAAGAGAGTCTATTCTATTGGCTTTCAAAAGCCAATAGAATAAAAGGGAATAGCACAGCTAAGGAAAAGGGGGAAAAAATGGCGGACTGCGTTGTTTGGCGACCCCCGTGAAATGGTCGTTCGACCCCAAATGGGGTCCCGACCCACAGGTTGAGAACCACTGTATTATACCCTATAGCTTGAGACTTAGTATGAGACTTGGTATGTCTCTAGCTTAGTTTGAAGATGTAAACAGCACCAATAATAATCTAATCACCATTCACAATCCTCTCATCTTTTAAAACCTCCCTTAAATTATGTTATGGTTAATCTGAGAAAAGGATATAACAGGCATAGACTTATTCCAATTTTGTGGGCCATTCTTCAAGATACAGGTTTATGCTAATTGCCTTAACTTTTTTTCACGGAGTCCTTGCTATTCCCATTGTCTCTTCTCTCCCCTGGGCCATCATTCGGAGGGTGTCCCACAGAGTGACTCAGTTGAGTTTTTCATGTTCCTGATCTTTGATTTTCATAGACCTAAGTGCCCACCTTTTCTCTTCTCAGGCACGGTCTGAACCAGTTCTTCTCCTGCCGAGGAATCGCCTTAGCCGTGCAATATTTCTGGAAGCGAGGCCACCGCGAAGTGAACGTCTTAGTGCCTGCTTATCGAATGGAAGAAGATTCTAATGTGAGAGGTGGGAAGTGCTTGCTTTTTTTTTTCCCCCCTAAAGCAAACACCTGACCCACCTTTTGGCTGATTCACTGCAGGAATTTTAATCAGTAATGATATTTGAAAATGGATAAAAATGTGAATGCTGGTTTTTAAATGTTGCATGGAGGACTTCCATCAGCATCATCTAAACCAGTGTTTCTCAACCTTGACCATTTTAAGGCATGTGGACTTCAACTCCCAGAATTCCACAGCCAGCAATGCTGGCTGTGGAATTCTGGGAGTTGAAGTCCACATGCCTTAAAATGGTCAAGGTTGAGAAACACTGATCTAAACAGAGACATTTGTACTGCTCTGATAATTGAGGGAAAGGGAAGCTAGATGTTCCTACCCTGGCTTTTCTAGTAAAGATTAATATTAAAAATAATTACTGATTTGTTCCAATGTGGAATCTTTCTTCCAGTTTATTTCTTTTATTTCAAGCATGTTTATACCTTGAATGAGCTCCTCTCTCCCATGCCCTTTTCTATTTTCTTGTGAGTTTGAGGAGCCAGTCAGATGCCTGGATTGAGGGTGGAACTCATCAGCCAATCAGATGCATAGATTGAGGGTGTAATTCAGCTGTATAGATTGAGGGTGTAACTCATCAGCCAATCAGATGCATAGATTGAGGATGTAATTCATCTGCCTAGATTGAGGGTGTAACTCATCAGCCAATCAGCTGCATAGATTGAGGGTGTAACTCATCAGCCAATCAGATGCATAGCTTGAGGGTGTAATTCAGCTGCCTAGATTGAGGGTGTAACTCATCAGCCAATCAGATGCATAGATTGAGGGTGGAACTCATTGCATAGAGTGAGGGTGTAACTTGTGAGCCAATCAGATTCACAGACAGAGTGGATAAAGATTTCAATGTGAGTCTCCCTAATTCTTCAACAATTCTGATGGCTACTGCTGCAATCCTTTGTGGATTAATTTAAGGAAGACATCTCATTGACATTTAGTGGAACTTCATTGGTGTTGAGCTGCAACCAATGAGCAAATCTACCACAGTGTATTTTGACCACTGTATTTTTTTTTGCCTGCTTCCCTACCCCTTCCCTAATCACAGAGAGGCACTTTTTGACTGAGCTGCACAATCTAAGCATCCTGTCCCTTACACCATCACGAAAAATCGATGGGAAAGGCATTGTCCCATATGATGACAGGTGAGCTCAATTGTTGGATTAGTTACTAAAAGCTGTCAGTGTTTTGTAGAGTTCTTAAGTTGTTTGCTTGCAGATGTTTCATTACCCAACTAGGTAATGTCATCAGTCCTAGTAAGTGCAGAGAATGTTCCCTGTTTACACCCATGCCAGCGTTGGTGGGAGTGTGCTTTCCTCCTTGGTAGTTTCTTGATTGGGGCATTGTTTTCTGCTTGTTTGTCTGGTGTTAATCCCTGCTTCTTTGGGTTTTGGTTCCTGGAAAGGATGTGTCCTGGGTTTTTTATTCCCTTCTTAGCTTTTTATTTTCTCTTTGGAATAGTATGTAAATATGGCTTATCACTATGTGTCTATTGATGGCTGATTTGTCTGAACACTAAGCTTCCAGGAATTCCCTAGCATTTTTGGATTTACCGTAGCTTGGTCTAGGGTGTTCATATTTCCAGTTGAAACGATGTTTGAGTGTGTCATGTTGTGAGATTCTCTTCTATTAGAGTAAATGTTTTCTGTGCCTGCAGAGGTTGGATGTTGCTTGTTTAATTCAAGAGGTAGAGCCACCAAAGGAACATAGAAATCAATTCACCTCAGAGTGGATATGGAGCAATTATGTTTGGAATGGAAACAACACCCTCAAATGTTGTCCCACAGTGCGTAGCGCTGTTCAAAATCATCTTCATAGGAGGTTTTTTTAATCGTTAGATAGCTTTCAAAATCTGCTTCTTCTTGTTCTTCTAGAGGAGGTGCCCACAATAGTTCAGGCTTGAGAATCCCTCTTGGGACTATTACTGACATTGTGGTAGAAATGAACACTCACAATATCAGACCCTTGTTTTTTAAAAAAGCTCAAGAGACAGGAATTTTCCCCAGATTAACATTGTTTTTCAGTTGCTCATTTGTGCCTGACGGTGACTCCATGGACCGTAGCATGCCAGGACCCCTGTCCTCCACTGTCTCCTGGACAGGTACCAATGAAGGAAAATATTTGTAGCTCAGGGTTGAGCGACATGGTGGCCTAGTGGTGAAGATGTTTGCCTGCCACTTGAAAGGTTGAGAGTTCAATCCTAGGTAGTGGCTGATGTTTCTTTCTTAGGGTGCAAAGAAAAAATATTTGCTGTGAACTCTGTGTGGTGTCAGGAAGGGCATCCGGCCAAGAAATGCTCAGCTCCATCCAGTTACCCTGGCTCTAACTCGAATTAAGGAATTACAGGGTTGTAAAAAGGGGGTATTTTATTTGTAGCTTAGGGTTGAAATGAGGGGTCCTTGGTGCTCTCTGAGCTTGGTTATTATCTTTATTTATTTATTTATTTGCAGATGTTTCATTACCCAAACTAGGTAACATCATCTGTACTTGGAAGGAAGGAAGCACTAGAACTTATGATGTCACCTAGTTTGGGTAATGAAACATCTGCAAGAAAAACAAGCTCAGAGAGCCCCAGGGGCCTAAACTATTTGTGCCACTTTAGAATATTTCAAATTACTTCTTTAGGCATGAAATATTGTTTGTGGCCAAATTTGGGGAAATTGAGGTCAACATAGCGAGAGCTTTTTTTGGTTCTTTTTTGAGAATTACCCAGTTATTTCAACATTTGCTGTGCAGACTAGTGGATGACAATGAAATCATTCTTTTACAGGGAGTCGTAATGGGCTTTTCCCCAGGGTTTCCCAGTTTCAAGGGAGTGAATGACTTCATTTTTTTTTTTTTAGGTTACATGAGCCTTAGACATAGAACAGAAGCAGGAAATGATTTTGCCAACTGATAATTTGACACACAATGCAAATTTAATTTTGAAGTCAAATTCCCTCTCATACTAAGGAACAAAAACCTATTAAGGCCATTAAAACAGGCAGCAGAATTTACTGCAGCTAAATATTAAGTTTACTTAGTGGTACCTCGGTACTCAACTGCTTTAAAAGTCATCAAATTTGGTACTCAATGCATTTTGACACGAAAATTTTGTTTTGGTACTCATTGTTTGGTACTCAGTGCACAAGTACAAACTTGTCAGTGTTGGCTGCCTTGTGACTCACTATATTATTCCTTATGGGAAAAAAATTGGTACTTATCATTTTTGGTACTCATTGCGCCTCCCAGAACAAATTAACAATGAGTACCAAGGTACTCATTACAATGATTTATGGTCCTCTTGCCTCACAAATAATCCTATAAACAGAGGCATAGAATCAAAAGCACGTAAAGTATTAGTAGTGCGTTATAAAGCCTTAGTAAGGCCACACCTGGAATACTGCATTCAATTTTGGTCACCACATTATAAAAAAGGTGTTGAGACTTTGGAAAAAGTACAGAGAAGAGCAACTAAGATGATTAAAGGTCTGGAGACAAAAACATATGAAGAACTGTTGCAGGAATTGGGCATGGCCAGTCTAGAGAAAAGAAGGACTAGGGGGGACATGGTAGCAGCATTCCAATATTTGAGAGGCTGCCAGAAAGAAGAGGGGGTCAACTTATTTTCCAAAGCACCAGAAGGCAGGACAAGAAACAATGGATGGAAACTAATCAAGGAGAGAAGCATCTTGGAATTAAGGAGAAACTTCCTAGCAAGACAATTAACCAGTGGAACAACTTGTCTTCAGACATTGTAGGAGTTTCATCACTGGAAGTTTTTAAGAAACACTGGACAGTCACCTATCTGAAATGGTATAGGGTCTCCTGCTTGAGCATGGGGTTGGACTAGAAGACCTCCAAGGTCTCTTCCAGTTCTATTCTGATTGATAGAAATAGAAATTTGGAATCTTGTGCAATTTGAATTCATTGGTTTTGACGGCCCCTTCTTAACTCTAAAGGTCTTTGAAAAGAAGTAGGAAGATAACTTGTATCTGCCTATGGTTGAGTCCCTATCTCGCTAAGCTGTAATGTGATTTAGGTTAGTGATTACTAACTGTTCAGTTGAACTAGTTGAAAGAACCATAGCTTAATGTAAATATAAACCATCTTGAATACTCCAGCAGGTGTTGAATGACAACTCTTATTCTGTTGGATACTGGAAGTTATGATTCAACAATATTTGTTGGTCTACTCCCAGCTGCGATGTGTAAATTCGACAGTTGACATCAGTCAAAGATCTGTAGGCTTTATGATTAAGTAAGGCTGTGTTTCTCAACCTGAGCTGTTTCAAGAACATGAACTTCAACTCCCAGAATTCCCCCAGCAAGCCATTCTAGCTGGGGGATTCTAGGAGTTGAAGTCCACCATCTTGAAGTAGCTCAGGTTGAGAAACACTGAAGTAAGGATTTGATCCTTAGTCTCTTCCAAACTCTTGATCAGCCTGGTATAGAAGGAACAGCAAATGGTGTAGCTGTCCCACTGGTTTTTCAGCTGAAACTCAAGAGAAATCTTAGGTTGCTTCTTTATTTTCATTTTCATGCTCCACTGTTCAGTTGTGTCCAACTCTTGGTGACTTCATAGGCAAGTGCTCTTCATGCTACCCTGTCAAGCACAACTTCTTTCAGTTGCTGGATGTTCATCTTTGTATCACCATCTTTGACGTTATCAAGCCAGCTTGTTCTTTGCTTGCCCCTTCTTCTTGTTCCACTAACCATTCCTAGCATCATTGACTTCTCCAATGAATTGGCATGCATGACATGCTCAAAGTAAATCAGACCTACTCTTGTGATTCCCTCTCTCTCTCTCTCTGTGTGTGTAGTGGCACAGTGGTTAAAATGCAGGATTGCAGTTGGACTCTGTCCACTGCCCACTTCTTGGAAATCTTGGGAAGTTTTGTGCACTAAGTTACTGAAAGATAACAGTATATCCATATGTGTGTGTGTGCCTGTAAGTATCTTTCTGTGTATACACACAAACATATTCAAGATGCAAATGCATATATATTTCCCTATTAAAATGACAGTTCTTGAGAAAAGTATGAAATGTCAGCTAGAAAAATAGACATTTAATTATCTGTTTTGGGGAAGCAATGTTTTTGCTGGCAGAACATTACATCATTTTTTTGGATGTTTTATTTTTTTTGTATTACTTTGCACTAACATCCCTCCTATTATCTGATTGATTTGATCTCATGATGGCCTCTTATGAAGTCCTTGACTTTTATCAACTGGCAATATCCCAAATTTTGGTTAATCATTCAGACATTATTTTTTTTAAAAAAACTGGTTTCCAATCTGGCAATGAGGACATTTGCTCTAGCTGGGAAAGCATTGTTGCAGAAAGTGGGGAGGGTGTGTGTGTGTGTGTGTGTGTGTGTGTGTGTGTGTCTATCCGTCCATCCATCCATCCATCCATCCATCCATCCATCCATCCATCCATCTGTATCCTGTCTTTATTATGTTTACAAACAACTCAAGGTGGTAGATATATCTAACTTACTTTCCTCCTCCTACTTTCCCCACAACAACAATTCTAAGAGGTGAGTTGAGCTGAGAGAGAGGGCCTGGCCCAAAGTCACCCAGTTGGCTTTTCATGGCTAAGGCAGGACTTGAACTCACAATCTCCTGCTTTCTAGCCTGTTGTCTTTGTAGTTGCAAAACACCGTGGCTATCTCAGTAACTCGTGGATCAATCCTAGTAGACTGGTTTTCTGAAAAGAGATTGTCCTCTATTGTTGGTATGGTTGTAAAGGTGAGACAATTGTGCTTCCTAGGCACAAATATGGCAAATATCCATGAGGGAAAAGCGAATCTTTCCTCAAGAGAAGTTTGAGGACCTTGAAACAGAGGAAGTAAAATTATCCTAATTCATTTCTCTGTTGGCTCTTCTTTTACATGTCTTTCATTGGACTGCAGAATGATGCTGAAACTGGCAGAACAGACTAACGGGGTGATTGTCACCAACGATCAGTTCCGGGATCTTGCCAAAGAATCGAAGAGATGGATCAAGCTAATCAAGGAGAGGTGAAGATGGATTCTTTAATTTGGGGGGTGCAGTGGGGTGGAGCAAGAGGCAATCTTTTTTTGAAGGAACCTTCTAGATCAGAGGTGGGAACCGATGGCCCCTTTATGACTTGTGGACTTCAACTCCCAGAATTCCTGAGCCAGCCAGTCCACAAGTCATAAAGGGGCCATCATTCCCCACCTCTCTTCTTAGATGGTGCTGGGTTTTTCTTTCTTGAATGAGGTGGGGAGAAATAGGGTGAGGCCTGGACTTCTTCCTGTCAGGTTACCGATTGATTACCGATTGATACACAAAAGCTTGAGGGACTCAAGGAAGCTGAAGATTTGTCCTAGAGCAGTGGTTCTCAACCTTTTTAATGCCACGATCCCCAACCGGTCGTAAGTCAAGGACTACTCAACCGGTTGTAAGTCGGGGACTACTCAACTGGTGCAGCACCGTTTGCAGACTGGGACTTTTGGCGGGCTCAGCAGGGCAGAGACAGCCTGGACAATTCCAATTTCAAAAGCCAATAGAATAAAAGGGAGTAGCACAGCTAAGGAAAAGGGGAAAAAAATGGCGGACTGCGTTGTTTGGCGACCCCCTGTGAAATGGTCGTTCGACCCCAAATGGGGTCCCGACCCACAGGTTGAGAACCACTGTCCTAGAGAGTCAGGTTTCAAGAACAGGCAACCCAGAATGAGACATTTGATACGGTCCCCTGGGACTGAACCATCTGGTGCACTCTGAGGGAAATTACACATTTCAATGCCTTTCCACATATCACACTAATTAGCATGCCACTCACTGAAAGCTAAGCCGTCAACAATTCCAGGTGTCCTTTATTTAAAAACTTGAAATTTCCAAGCTTGTGAGGGAGAAGTGATACAGACCAGAAAAGGACATTTTTTTTATCTTCCCTGACTTTCTCCCGGGAGGCTTTAATTAAGAAAATTACTTATTTCCGTCTTTACCACTTATTATGAACCCTATGCTCTAGCTTAATTAACATAATTAATTACAGAATAGCTTGCCTCCTGGAGTTGTGAGTGCTTCATCATCCTGGAGGTTTTCAGAAATAGACAGGACAATTATTTGACTGGGGTGGCATAAGGTCTCCTGCCTTGAACAGAGGGTTGGACTAGAAGACCTCTAAGGTCCCTTCCACCCTATGGATTCTATATACAGGTAGTCCTCGAATTATGACCACAACTGAGCCCAAAATTTCTGTTGCTATGCAAGATAGTTGCTATGCGAGCTTTTCCTCATTTTACAACATCATTCTGCAGTCGTTAAGTGAATCACTGCAATTGTTACGTTAGTAACACAGTTGTTAAGTGAATCTGGTTTCCCCATTGACTTTGCTTGTTAGAAAGTCACAAAAGATGGTCACATGACCCCGGGACACTGCAATTCTTATAAATATGAGTCAGTTGCCAAGTGTCTGAATTTTGATCACGTGACCATGGAGATGCTGCAGCAGTCGTAAGTGTGAAAAAAGCAGTCCTAAGACACTTTTTTCAGTGCCGTTGTAACTTTTGTTGTAAATGAAGGACTACTTGTATTTTTTTCCGTGTTACCCAATGCCTAGACCAGTGGTGGCGAACCTATGGCACGGGTGCCAGAGGCAACACTCGGAGCCCTCTCTGTGGGCACATGTGCCATTGCCTCAGCCTTGCCTCCCCCTCTCTTCTCTTCTTCTCTCTCTCTCTCCCTTTCTCTTTCTCTCTTTCTCTTCAAATAATAAAGGAAAAGAAGGACTGGGGCTGACCTCATAGCAGGGTTCCAATATCTCAGGGGTTGCCACAAAGAAGAGGGAAGAGCCAAGCTATTCTCCAAAGCACCTGAAGGCAGGACAAGGAACGAGTGGAAACTAATCAAGGAGAGAAGCAACCTAGAACTAAGGAGAAATTACAGTTAGAACAATTAACCAGTGGAACAGCTTGCCACCAGAAGTTGTGAATGCTCCAACACTGGAGGTTTTTAAGAAGAGACTGGACAGCCATTTGTCTGAAATGGTATAGGGTCTTCTGCCTGAGCAGGAAGTTAGACTAGACCAGGGCTTTTCAACCTTTTCACCCATTGTACCACTTTTAGGATACTGCAATATCCGAGTATCACCCGTCGCCTAGCAAGGGGTCAAAAATTTGATGACCAAAAAAAAAGGAAAAAAGTGACAAAGTACAGGTAGTCCTTGACTTACAACAGTTCACTTAGTGACTGTTTCAAGTTACAATGGCACTGAAAAAAGTGCCCCCCAAGCCACAGCCAAGTAAGACACCTGCCTGCCCACCTGGCGGTGCTCTTCTTCCTGTCCTAGGTTTTCATTGTTGTGAGCATTTCTGTTGAGGATTGGCAGCGGGGGTGGGGTGGGGTGTGTGTGGTTTTTATTCCCCCCGTCTGCTGGGTGGTTGCAGCAGGTTTTGGTCACTTCACATAACCCTGGGACACTGACCATCATAAATATGAATCAGTTGCCAAGCATCTGAATGTAAATCACAAAACCCTGGAGATGCTGCAACATTCCAGTTGATCCGCGCTTCTTAAGGGCTCAGCAGAAGCACCAGGATCAGCGCCGAGATCCAGCTGGAGCCTGGCGCTGATCCTGGCGCTTCCACTGAGCCCTGACAGCCCTGAAGAAGCGCTGATCCTGGTGCTTCTGCTGAGCCCTGACAGCCCTGCAGCTTCAGCCGTCTCTCGCTCAGGCTTGTGCGGTGCTGCCACCAGTTCAGCTCATTCCCCTCCCCCGCTACCACTTTTCTAGGTTGGTCGCATACCACCTGCCAGGTGCCAATGTACCACAGGTGGTACCTATACCACTGGTTGAAAAGCCCTGGACTAGAAGACCTCCAAGATCCCTTCCAATTCTGTTATTCTGTTAATCTCAGTTTCTATGTCTGTAAATCTTGCCTACAGACAGGAAATGTTTCTCACTTATATCAGCTGTGCTTGAGGGCCCAGGTGGCTTTCTAGAACTGCAGGAATTTATTTGGGGGCATGATGATGTCATTGGAAGTTCCTGATCACATTTTGGACTGGAACATTTGCCATTAAGTGGTGTGATTGTTAAGCAAGGCAACGTATGGCTGCACCCAGTTTTACAACCTTCTTTTGCCATGGTCCTTAAGCGAAACCACCGCGGTCACCATCCCATGACTGCAGTGGTGTTGGGATGGCCAGAACATCCAGCACCGGATGTGAGTGCCACTTATTTAGGGCTGTCGTATGGCCTCTGAATGAGTTGTGGTTAATCTGTGTTCAGTCCATATTCATTCACCGTCCAGTAATTCTTGATTTTCTTGTTTTGTCCCTCACACTTAAGCAGCTCCTTCTTGCCTCAGTCAACTTGTATGTTTCTCCTGACATGCCCATCATTTTTTCCCCAAAAATAAGCCCTTTGGGGGGGTGTTTTTCAGTGGTTTGTGGGTGTTAAGGATAGGGATGAGAGAAGTTACTCAATTTCAAGGAGAAAAAGAGGCCAAACCAACTCCAAATATTACAGTTAGTCCTTGACTTACAACAGTTCATTTAGTGACCGATCGAAGCTACAGCACTGAAACAAGTGAATTATGATTATTTTTCACACTTAACTTTGCAGCATCTCTTTGGTCAACTGATCAAAATTCAGGTGCTTGGCAACTGATTCATATTTATGACGGTTGCAGTGTCTCGGGTGTCACATGATCACCTTTCGCGACTTTCTGACCAACCAAGTCAACGGGGAAGTCAGATTCACAGATTAACAACTGTGTTACTAATGTAACAATTGCAGCGATTCACAATAACTGGCAAGAAAGGTCATAAAATGGGGCAGAATAAAAACTGTCTCGCTTACCAATAGAAATTTTGGGCTCAGTTGGGGACTACCTGCACAGCTTCTTTGAGGATGGGAACGGACCCATAACTGCTCTCAGTGCCCCTCTTAAGTTGGAATATAAAGCAGACAAATTGTGCTGCTGAAATTCAGTGACTGAATTTTAGGGGTTAATCTTGAGGCGCTGTGGAGTCTGTGAAAATTGGTTATCCCTGAAGGTGTATTGAGTATTCCCATTGCTCCTAAAATGGCTGCATTCAGGAGATGGTTGAAAGTGCTAGGCCCGTTGTGGCGAACCTATGGTGTGCATGCCACAGGTGGCACGCAGAGCCCTCTCTGTGGGCATGCACACCGTCGCCTCAGTCCTAGGCCTTCAGCTGGGTTTTATAAAACCTTTTCGCTTTAGGCCTCCGCCGCATGAAAAAAAAAAGGTTCAATCAATTTCAACTTCTCACAGGAAAAAAAAAAAGATCTTGCAAAGTTGGAATTGATTGATTGAACTTTTTAGTCTCGCCCAGTCTGCCGTTACCACTGAAGCCATGCCCACCCAAAGGACCACGCCCACCCAATGGGCCACATCCACCCAATGGGCCACGCCCACCCAGCACCCGACGATACATAAGTGGGTTTGGGGTTGCAGTTTGGGCACTCGGTCTCTAAAAGGTTCGCCATCACTGTGCTAGGCTGATACCTCAGCTGAATCCTTGAAAGAAACAGTCTGGTGGGTGATTTTTTTTTTTTTAACCCTCTGGCTGGATTTGCAAATTGCAGGACGTCCGAGCTGGTTTACCTCTTTGTGGCTTAGTGCGTTGAGTGGTTTGCAAGCCGTCATTTGTGGCTTGGCACAATCAGTGGATCTGACGCATTTAAATTTGTCAAATAGACTGTAGTTTTGCAGGATGTATGAACCCCTTCTTTGGTTTTCTGTTGTGCAGCTTATTGCAGTACACCTTTGTGGGGGATATATTTATGGTCCCGGATGACCCCTTAGGACGAAGTGGCCCTACCTTGGCAGACTTCCTGAAGAAAAAAAACAAGTGAGTATTTCTGATGAACTTCTAGCAAATATATCCCTTAAACTACTCTAGCCAGATTAGGTTTAGAATTAAAAAACAACGTCTTGTAGATTGATGGGTAGAGTAGAGTAGACGCTGGAAGGAACCTTTAAAGTCTTGTAGTCCAGCCCCCCATGCTCAAGCAGGAGAACCTATACCAGTAGCCTCATTCTGAGTCAAGCAATAGCAATAGCACTTAGACTTATATACCGCTTCATATTGCTTTACATCACTCTCTAAGCAGTTTACAGAGTCAGCATTTTTCCTTCAAGATGGAAGGCTTGAATCAACCTTAAGCAGGCCAGGATCGAACTGGCAGTGAGCTGAATTAGCTTGCAATATTGCATTTTCACCACTGTGCCACCATAGCTCCTCAAGGTTAATTCTTGGGGGCTTTATGGGAATGCATGTTTCTTTCAAATTATAATTCAAAGTAAATGTTAACCCATTAGTCCATACATTTTCTCATTTATCTAGCATTATACCCATTTTTTTTTTTTTTTTGCCAATTTTACCATACAGTCTTTTACGGATTCATCTGCCAGGTTCATCTTGAGTAATATTTTAGATACTTTAGCAATCAAATGATCATCTCCAGAACCTAAATTGATAGTAAATTCAGATTTAACTCCTGTTGAAAAAAAAACCTGTCATGGTTCTGATAGATGAGACCAACTAAAGCAGAACTCCGAGGATTGAGTTTTCCTCTAAGAACATGTTTATTGGTTACAAAATATCAGCACGGTCAAAAATGAAACCAAGATTAAAGTTCCCTCCAAAAGTAATTTGTTACAAAGTTAAACTTCCCACCCCACTGTCTATGCAATCAACTACGTTTCCCAATAAAATAGTTTGACGGGCTTTCTAACAGTTTGGTTCAACCCCCCTAGCCAAGGGAACAGAAATGACCTTGGTTCCCAGAGAATTGTTTAGGCTAGCATAAAACTTACCATTCCTCCCCCCAATCTTGTGGTAACTGAAAACGAGCAAGATATCTTCAGCCAGGTTCGTTGCAGAATTGACAAAAACCTTTTTTTTAAATCAAGTTTAAATCTTTTAAAAATTCTATAAGGGAATGCATGTGTCCTGACAACAATGCATAAGTAGTTTTTGTCCAACTTCATAGTCTAGCCTTCAGCCCTGGGGCTTCTTGCTGGTCCTCCACACAAGGGTTAAGTCTGCCATTGGCTGAGGCTAAAGCTAACATTTCTTTTGAGTTGACTCTTGGAAACCTCATGGAGAGGTTTCTATAGTTTCTTCGACAACCACAAGGAAGCGATTTGCTCATGATGAATTTCAACTTCCTGATCTAGCTTGCAACCTTGGAGTGGCAGCAATGTCCTGTCAGCAAGACATCCCTCTCCCAGTCCAAGCACTAACCAGGCTTAGCTTTGCTTAGCAACTGAGAGTCATAGGATCAGCCATAGGCTGCTCTTGGTTGCTACCACAAAGGATGTATCCTAACTCTAAAGACTACATCCTGGTGGTGACAGGCTGGATCTGGAATGACAGGCTGACAAGACATGGGGGGAACTGCCAGATATTTTCCCAATTGTCACCTTTCCTTTTCTAGTTCTACTGAAATTACAGTTCTTAGCGTTCCAGGTTTGCAACCAAAGTGAAGGACTCCTGTCCACAGTTATCTGGGATGTTACACATCCTCGTCACAACCTGTTCTCCAGCACTGGAGATGGAGAATCCACCAATGGGTTGAGACTGTATTCCTGCCCAATCAGATCAGTCAGCCAAAGTTGCCACGCCCGTCCTGGACCACGAGATCCCAGTCTTGACTGATCTCGCCACTGGACAGACGTGCAAGTTTGGTTCTTAGGCAAGTACAGTCTCCATTGGTGGATTTTCTTATCCAGTAGCTGAGAGTTGTAAGGAGTCAATTGGATTTATTTCTTTAAATTAGATCAACTTACCAAATTCTAAATTTTTACCTGTTTTCCTTGTTCCTTTCTGGAAAGAAGCTTTGCGGTATCCATAGCAGATCATCTAGTTTCAGTCAGTTTTGTTCCATATAGCATCAACCTTCTGAACTCTCAAATTTCCTCTTTCCGCTATATACCATATTTTCCGGCGTATAAGATGACTCGACGTATAAGACGACCCCCGACCTCGGAGACGATTTGCATGCTTTAGAAAGTTGTCTTATACGCCGGAAAATACGGTATTCAAATTGGACAGTGATTAATATATGTGTATATATATGTGTGTAGATATATGTGTATGTATGTATCTAGCAGGTGTATATGAGTATTATGTGTTATGCATGTGTATGGGTAGATATATACTTTCTTTTGAGAGCAGGCAACATAACGTCATTTTTAATGTGTTCCAGTGTGCTTGCAGTAAAAAATGACAATAAAAATTATCTTGTTGTTAAAAGTTGTGGAACCTGTTGGGATAAATAGTGGCAGAGCTCTATCTTGTGGCCAGAAGTGGGAAGTGCATGGCTTTTTAGTTATCACAATCAATAAGTCCTCCCTCCTATTTATCTCACCTTCCAACTCTTGCTCAGTCCAAAACCCCAGGTTCCATTACAAAGGAAAGAAAAGATCCACTTCTCTGGCATTCCTTTGCCTTGTTTATTATTTCTGAAAAATACCAATTTAAGATGAGTTTTATGAAAACGTTCTTCTTCATTGCTGCGAAGAAGAATCTGAAAAACGTACACTGGGCTGGATCCCAGGAACTGCTTTGCTGAGAACTAGCTCAAAAAAAAAAAAAAAAAAAAAGTCAACAGCTTGAAAAATGAGCTGCTGTTCCTGGCAGTCTTGGCTAAATGAGGTGAAGGGGCAGGTGAGTGGTGTTGTTGGACAGGAAGTACCTCTGGAGAGACCACCACATGCTTTTGACCCAGTTGAGTTCAATCCTTCAACTTTGTAGACGTTGTAGCTGGATAGAAACATGGAGCCAGTGCTCAGAATAGCAATAGCACCGTGGGGAGCATCAGAAAAGTCTATCTCACTGTAGGCAGCTTACAATAATAAAATGGAAAAAATATATATGAAAAGATGGGTAAACAGAAGTGAAATAATAGAACAATAAACAACAACAAAAAAACACAGTGAGAACAAATACATTAATATGATAACCAAAAAGATGGATGGGTGGAGAGCAGAGAGCAAATGAGGTGGTGGGGGAGCAAGTTGAGTCTGCCATCAATCTTGTTGTTGTTGTTAATTGCGAAGTCGTGTCCGACCCATCGCGACCCCATGGACAACGTTCCTCCATCAATCTAACTGCCACCCATTAAAATAATTGGTTCAATAATAAGCTAATTGATACTTCTGATAGAGAAACTGATGGGGAAAAAAAGTCACCCATCCTGTTCCTTGCAAAACCAGGGCGGGATTTGAATTTTTCTGGTTTTTTTCTCCCCCATTGCAGAACCAAGTATCCTGATTGTCACTCTTTCAGTGGCCAACCCGCCCCACAGTTCACACCATCACATCCTATATCCCAGACAGAGGTCCTTCACCTCCGGGATAGGAGGCCACCTGCTGGTTCAGTAGGGGACTACAGGAGAGGTCGGCACAACAGCCCTGCTGAGAAGGAGACACTTCGCTCTACAGAAGAGACAGAGTGGCTGAGGAGCAAGCTTTTGGAGATTTTTGAGGGACAAGACAGAAAAGTGGACTTTGTGCTCATCAGAGAACCTTGTTGCCAAGACCTGAACAAGCTTTCAGAGGCTATTCTCAGTTTTACTTTCTGAGCCAGCCTCTTCTGTTCCGTCCCCAAAGGCAGTCGATCTAACACAGTCGCCTTCAGAGATTAAACTTCAAATGATTGACGTGATCTTGGTGCACCAGTGGCCATTGACAAGGGAGAAAATGCTTGGGGAATGAAGACAAAAAGATCGGACCCCGCAAAAGGCTTCGGTCCTAAAGCCTGCACTGTTGTGTTTTTCCTGTTTCCTTAATATCAGATGAATCTCATCTTTGAATCAGCTTTCTTCTCAATAATTGGACCTCTCTGCATTCCAGAAATGTGAAGTTGCTTGCAGGAACTTAAAACTCCCTACATGCAAATATGGCGGGCCTAAGCTATGAGAGAGCTAAAGGCCTTGAGATGGAATTACTATAAATTGGTCCTCTGCCAAGAGAGAAATTCCTGCAGGATTTCTCACTCTAAAACTTCAATTCCCAGCATCCACCTTGACTCTGTATTAACCAATCAAAGATTTCTGAGGTAAAAGTTATGACTTGTGTAGGTTTTCACTTTAAAAGAGTAAAGATGAGAGGTCCTTGCTTGGTTGTTTTCCTCCAGATGCTTTATTATCCAACTTAGGTAACATCATCACTGATGCTAAGACTGAAGGTGTTATTTAGTTGGGTAATGAAACGTCTGCAAGAAAACAAGCTCAGAGAGCACCAAGGACCCTTCATTTTCAACCCGGAGTACAAATATTTTCCTTTATTGGTAGAGATGCTTAAATAACCTCCATTTTAGGCTTGGTGAGAGGACCACCATCGTGTACTCGGCATGTTCCAATTTGATTGGATTCCAGCTTAATATTAAGATGCACTGCAGATTAGGAGTCTGGCTTGATTAAAAAGCTGCTTTATACTCTTACGATAGCTTTCCTCGAAATGGCAACCTCCAAATGTATTCAGTATCTTCAGATGCAGTTACTGATCTTAACTATTCAAAACGGGACGGGAATTGTTTTGCACATCTAAGTCAACCTGTTTGAAGAAAATCTGAGCCTCCAATACCAATTGTATAAATCCTATTTTTATATTTTTAAATATGGTACCAACAACTATTTTAAGCAGAGATTTTAAATTTCCTTCAAGAAATTCAAGTACGTTTGGGGCACTCAGTTCTTATACAGTCTCTTATAAATAATAAGTGATTCTTATAAAAAAAAACTTTTTAAAATTATACTTTTGTAGGACAGAGAAAAAAAATGCACTGTTCCCCCAAATATTTTTTAAAAGCTAAAAAATAAATCTTGGTGTTTTCTGAAAACAGTATTGTGTGCTTCTAGTGCCCTTAAAGTGTCTTAGAATTGGTATGCTGCTGTTGCTAGTGGGCACCAGGTTGGGGAAAGCCAAAGTTATGTAATGCAGGTAATCCTCGACTTATGACAATTGAGCCCAAAATTTCTGTTGCTAAGCGAGACATTTGTTAAATGAGTCTTGCTGCATTTTACGATCTTTCCTTGCCACAGCTGTTAAGTGAATTATTGCAGTTAAGTTACTAACATGGTTGTTAAGTGAATCTGGCTCCCCAGTTGACTTTGCTTGTCAGAAAGTCGCAAAGATGGTCACATGACCCCGGGACATTGCAACTGTCATAAATATGGCTCAGTTGCCAAGCATCCGAATTTTGATCATGTGACCATGGGGATGCTGCAACGGTGTGAAAAGCTGTCATAAGTCACTTTTTTCAATGCCGTTGTAACTTTGAACAGTCACTAAATGAATAGTTGTAAGTTGAGGACTATCCATAGCAGAGAAACATAGAGAGTTATGTTGCTATTAGCATTTATCGTTTCCAGATTCTTCTATTTCCCAACTCTGATGTTTTGATGACCACTCCTCAAAAAAAGTTTTGTAGCACTCTGAATTACCTTTTTTACCTCATGTTGTGTGAAGGACACCCAGATAGGTTTTCCTTGTTTGTCAAATTGGAAATGTGGGAGATCACAAAACCCCTCATGACCACCCAAGCGTTTTTGATGTCCCACAATTCATAAGCATGCTGATCACAGGATTCTGCGCTTTTTAGATTCTATGAACAAGGGTTTAGGACTTGCCGCGGCCATCCTGCTGTAGGACAACTCACTGCGAAAGAAAGGTTACACTAATACTGATGAAATGGTAGAATAGAATCATTAAAGAAAGGATGCAACATGAAATGTGAATGACAAAAATCGAAACAATTTTTAAAAATTATTTTAAATAATCAAATTGTTGAATTGTCCCGCGGTGAATTGTCCCACAGCAAGTTTATTTTATTTTTTATTTTATTTATTAAAATTTATAGATCGCCCCACTCCCACAGGACTCTGGGCGGCTAACAATAAGAACACAATATAACTTAACAAGACAAACAATACAGTAACATTCATCCAGGGGTCAGATTTTATAAACCCCAGGCCTGCCAGAAAAGCCAGGTCTTAAGCAGCTTGCGGAAAACCAACAGGGTGGGAGCGGTCCTAATCTCCGGGGGGAGCTGGTTCCAAGACGTGGGCACCATCACAGAGAAAGCCCTCCCCCAGGGCCCCGCCAAATAGCATTGCTTGACCGACGGGACCTGAAGGAGGCCCAGCCTGTGGGATCTAACCGGACGAAGGGAACAAAGTTGGCTGTAGTGAGTTGGCCGTGTGGAGTTGTCCCATTCCATAGGAACAAACCCAAAGAGCTATCGGCAAACATCTAAGATAGTTTCTCTTGATACAAAGCGATTGCGTTCCCCCCCGCCCCCCCCCAAAGCTGGAATGTTCTCCCATTCAGATGGTTCCACCATGAGACAGCTGTCTCCTGTGCTACTTTTGATGTAATGACCATTTCATGTCAGGAGGGCACATAAGGTGATCACATGACCACGAGACACTGCAACTACCATGAGTCAGTTGCTAAGTGTATGAATTGTGATCACGTGACCAGGGGGTTGCTACAACGGTCATTAAGTGCTGTTGTAACTTTGAATGGTCACTAAGTGAACTGTTGTAAATTGAGAATCATTCTGTGCATGACCTCAGGAATGCTGCAGTGGCTGCAACCACACAAGGACCTGTTGTAAATCCCCTTTGTTCAGCACCTTCACAACTTCAGTCACCAAACAAGGGGTCACTCAGTGAAGATTACCTGCAACTTGCCACTGAAAGACACAAGAAGAGGAAGTACATAAATATATGCATTTATTTACTTCTTCCTAGCCTTGTGAAAAGCTTCCGTCCTGAAGTCCGACTTCAACCCTCAGCTGGTGGCAAAGGTATGTTTGTAGGGGGTGAAGGATTGCGGGTGATTTTCAGTGACCGGCAATACAAGACGGGTGTCTTACCCAACCCCAGACAGTAATGCCACCAGTAAAGCTTTTGCCTGGGCTGTAGGATCACCCGGAGAGGTTCTTCTTCCTCCGCTGCTTCTTCCCATTCTTCTTGCTCGGTCTGAAGTCCCAGCCCTCCATAAACTGCAGGGAGGGCAAACTGGCGCTGGAGAAGGGAGACTGTAAGGGACTCTGGACTCACTGATTCGTCGACGTGAGCTTTTAGCCCAAGTTCCAACTGAGAATAGCCAACCTTGCGGGATATTGCATAGCTGCTGGGCATGGGCAGGTCAGTTGCGTTGGAGAGGAGTTTGAGGCACTGCCACTGACCAAAGGCAGCTCCGTAGATGAGGGACAGTCCACCTGGGAGGAATGAGACCACGTCTGGGTGGATCGCAAAGGACTCCTTGTGTCCTGTGGTGGTGGCAAAACAGGTGCCGCAAAGCCGTTGCTCCTCGTCCATCCTGAAGCAAGCCAGATGTTCAGCATCTGCGCCGAAATAGTATAGCCCATTGAGAAGGGTGGGTTCCAAGTGGATCTCCTTAATCAAAGCCCCAGTGGCCAGATCAGCCACACAAAGGACCACCCCTCGCGACAGGAAGAAGATGAAAAAATATCCCTCGCAGAATGCATACTGGTCTGCTCCACGGCAGCTGGGGTGCAAGGGGAAGACATCCGAGGGGGGTTCAGAGTTCAGATCTGTCACTTGGCAGAAGGAGTCCCCATGGAGAAGATAGATGGTTGAACTGCTGGGGTCTCCCACATAGTGGTCCTTTCCACGGCAGGCAGGGTGGAGGGGCTTTATTTTGAGATCTTGTCCTGAGCAGAAGTCAAGTGTTTGAAGGAAATAACCCAAATCTGAGCGGACCACGAAAGCGCCCTGGCGAGTGACAAAGACCTCTGAGCCTGGGGAAGCTGTCTGGGGAACGATGGAAGCCATGGAGGAGACTGTGGATTAGCAATGATAGTTTAATGAAAAACCCTGTTTCAGACATTTGTACGGTATTCCTGAGACTGTTACACTCTAATTTCTTGCAGCCCTCATAACAGGCCATGCTAGTTGAGGCTCACAGCCATGACTGAGTTCAATTGGAGAGGCACACACAGAAACCATAATTAATTAGCTCCCTGGGCCCAAACACTAAAGTACAAAACCTTGTCTGGAAATCAAAGTACTGACTGACAGGTGAATTCCGGGAGTTGAAGACCACACATCTAAAAAATGCCACAATTATACATTATCCTCAATTTGATCAGTAATCAATAAACTATTTAATTAGCAGTGTTTTATTTGGTGTATGAACATTCTGCATATACATACGCACATAATGGAAGTTTATGTGTATTTGTTTATGTGTCTATATGTGTATCTATAGTTATGTGTATCTGTAGATGTTTGTATACACATTCACTCTGTCTGTCTGTCTGTCTGTCTGTCTGTCTGTCTGTCTGTCTGTCTATCTATCTATCTATCTATCTATCTATCTATCTATCTATCTATCTATCTATCTATCTATCTATCTATCTATCTATCTATCTATCTATCGTAATCCAGACAGCAACTGACAGGAAGCTACTTAAAAGCTACTTAAATTAATTCTCACAAAGGTTTATTATGTTTTTTTTCCAAATCAAGAAAAACAAGTTCTCAGCATGGGCCCATTCCAAACTCAGCTCTCCTCCATTCCCTTTTCAGGCAGGGAATTAATTTTTTTTTCTCTCCCTTACCCCTTCCTCCCCACACCGAATTAGGGCAACACTCTTCCTGGGCCAACTCCTGGTCACAAAATCAGGTGAGAACCTGAGAACATTTAGGGAGGACTTGAGAGAGGCCTATCCAATAGGGCAGGGGTTTCCAGTCTTGGCCACTTTTAAGACTTGTGGACTTCAACTCCCAGAATTCCCCATGCTGGCTGGGGAATTCTGGGAGTCGAAATCCACAAGTCTTAAAAGTGACCAAGACTGGAAACCCCTGAGATACGGGAAGCTCGCCCACTGAAGCCAAATTGCCATTTTGTTGTTGTTAAATGCAAAAAAAAAAACAAAAAAACCCCAGCCCGCTAATCCGCAGCGGTTTCCCTGTACCAGCCCTGGGAGAAGCCCTAATTCGGCCCCGCTAGCAGGAAGGGGAACGGCGGGGCCGAAACGCAGGCCCGGAGGCTGCGGGTCGAATGGGGTAGGGTGGGAGGAGAAAGCTGTGGAGGCGACCCGTCCGACCCTTACCTGCTCGACGGCGGCGCCAAGTCGGAGAGGGACGCAGGGCGAAAAGGGGGACCGTGACGGCTTCCGGGTTCAGGCGGGCATGCGCGCCACCCGCGCTCGGCCCCTCCTTTCCCAGCAGGAGGAAGAGAAGACCGGGCGGGCGCGGGGAGGTTGCGGGGCGAGGTGGGCGGGCGGAAGAGGGAAGCGTGGCTGGCCAGTGCTGCAGCCTTAAAACCCATCTGCGGGTTCCCGGGCGGCGCTGGCGGCGCGCGTGGTGTCCGACCTCGGGTCAAGCAGGGGAGGGAGGAAGGGTAGGGGTAAATAGATTAGGGTAGGAAGGTAAGATTAGGTAAGGTTAGGTTAGTTAGGTTAGGTAGGTAGATAAGGTTAAGTAGGTTAATTAGGGTAGGTAAGTAAGGTGAGGTAGGTTAATAGATTAGGGTAGGTAGGTAAGGTTAGGTAGGTTAATAGATTAGGGTAGGTAGGTAAGGTTAGGTAGGTAGGTAAGGTTAGGTAGGTTAATAGATTAGGGCAGGTAAATAAGGTTAGGTAGGTTAATAGATTAGGGTAGGTAGGTAAGGTTAGGTAGGTAGGTAAGGTTAGGTAGGTTAATAGATTAGGGTAGGTAGGTAAGGTTAGGTAGGTAGGTAAGGTTAGGTAGGTTAATAGATTAGGGCAGGTAAATAAGGTTAGGTAGGTTAATAGATTAGGGTAGGTAGGTAAGGTTAGGTAGGTTAGGTAAGTAAGGTGGGTTAGGTAGGTAGGTAGATAAACAGATTAGGTTAGGTAGGTAGGTAGGTAGGTAAGTAGGTAGATGCGGGAGGGAACTGTGGCAATTGGCCTCGGTTAGTGGGGCCGGCCCCTTTCCACTCCTTTTGGCTGGACTGCGGGGGGGGGGGTCGTTTATGGGTGGCGTGCTGGGAAGATTGCGCCCAGGTTGGGATTTGGGTCTTGGATGAGACCTTTTGGTTTGCAAGTACGAATGGGCGACTGGAAACACCGCACCCCTGTCAGCGTAGCTCTTTGCGCGAAGATTTGGAAGCCGCCTTGGTTTGCAAGGAAGGACGGAGAGACCCCTCCCCCGACACGCGTAGGTCTGCGTAGCTGTTTATATGAATATTTTGAAGCATCTCTCTCTCACTCTCTCTCTCACACACACACGCACGTTTGTGAGTGGATCTGCGTAGCTATTTCACAAAACGAAAGATTTTGAAGTCTTGCATGCACGCACCCACGCACTTGCGAACCGATCCGTGTAAATGCACGAAGATGCTGATTTTGTGGCCTTACATACACACACATACACTTGTGTGCAGGTCTGCAGAGTTATTTGCATGAAGTTCCCCCGCCCCCCCCCGTTTCCAAATCCTTTTTGGCGTCTTCTTCCTCCACCCCTTTTTTTTCCCCTCCCGGAAATTTGGGAGAAGAGTTGGATCAAACCGCCTTGCGTATTTCTTGCCGAGATTATTCCGGATAAGGAATTGCACGCTGACATCCAATATTTTGGAACTGCGCTGCAACACATCACCTCTTCGACCTGAATGCGGGATCATTGCAACTCCCCCTTTCGTTTGCATTAACCCTGCAAAAATCACCGACACTTCCGATGCAATGGTTGTGCTATCCAACGCTTTCCTTTTCCTCTCTTAGCAAAACTATTTGTCAATAGAAATCCAGGAAATGAAGAAAAGGTTAGAGCTTATACCCTTTGCAAATGGCTAATCTAGTGAAGAGAAGGAGGGGGGGGGGAGACAGGATAGCAGTGTTCCAATATCTGAGGGGATGTCACAGAGAGGATGGGGTCAGCCTATTTTCCAAAGCACCTGAAGGCCAGACAAGGCATAACAAATGGAAACTGATAAAGGAGAGATTCAACCTGGAAATAAGGAGAAATTTTCTGACAGAGAACAATCAACCAGTGGAACAGACTGTCTTCAGATGTTGTGGGGGCTTCATCACTGGAAACTTTCAAGAAGAGACTGTACTGCCACCTGTCAGAAATGGTTTAGGAACTCCTGCTTGGGCAGGGGGTTGGACTAGATGACTACAAGGTCCCTTCCAACTCTGTTACTCTAATTATATTTCTGATGCCCTGGCCTTGTACTGGAGGGCATATTTGTGCGTGGATGGGTCGTATCCTACAAATATCACTGGTCTCTCTAGCACAGTGGTTCTCAACCTGTGGGTCGGGACCCCATTTGGGGTCGAATGACCATTTCACGGGGGTTGCCAAACAAGGCTGTCCGCCATTTTTTCCCCCTTTTCTTTGGCCAGGCCCCTGGCACCCGGTGATGTATAAGTGGTTGGGGGTCACCACAACATGGGGAACTGTATTATGGGGTCACGGCATTAGAAAGGTTGAGAACCAATGCTCTAGCAGGAATCGTCTAAAATAAGTTCTGGCAATCTGAGCAATTTCCTAAAGTCTTGACCCCAATTGCTACAATACTCCAGGATGATCTTGCTGGCTGGAGAATTCTGGAAGTCCATTCAATTTGGAAGTTATCCTATCTGGAAAACTCAGATAAAGTCTACTCTACAGTGATGATATTATAGACTCCTTTTCAAGTATAGTTCATTTATGTACATGAACCCTTCTACTGCATAGGTAGAAAAGCAACTTTTTTCTCTCTCTTCCAATCGTAGAAAGCAAACAAAATGAAATATACAATATGTACTTTTCTTTTCTGTTAATGTAGTTGTAGGGCATATTGTATTAATAACATCCTGTTCAGATGTAGGAGAAAGAAAGGGTATTTCTTTCTTTCTTTTTTGTTGTAGTAATTGAGGTTTTATTTAATTTGACCACATCCCTTCTGCCAAATAAGGATGCACAAAGCAAAGGTAACTAAGCAAGAATTGAGACCAGTCTATATGTGTTGTTGTCAACTGCAGTGAGTCTAAATTTGGCAGAAGTAGGATAGGATAGCATATCATAGGATAGGATAGGATAGGATAGGATAGGATAGGATCGGATCCACTTTCTTAAAGTGTTTTTTTAGTGTGGAAATTCTTTTTGAGAAAGTCACAATGGGAAGCTAGTATTTTAGCTTGTATTTGACAAAGACCACAGGAATTTCCTAGGATGGATCACCACTGTGAATAACCTTAATTGCCCTAAAAAACTAGATAATATCTTAGTCATACTTCTGGGGAAGATGGAGTTTGTAATCAAACTCACCTAGGTTCTTTTAAAGCTGAACAAAAGCATAGACTGATCGACTACCAATGCATCTGGATTCATCTTTTATGTAGCAGTCATTGATAAGTGCACAAGTACAGGCAAAATCATGTTCAGGGTTCCTTATAAATCTAAATCAGTGGTTTTCAACCTGTGGGTCGGGACCCCATTTGGGGTTGAACAACCATTTCACGGGGGTCGCCAAACAACACAGTCCGCCATTTTTCCCCCTTTTCCTTAGCTGTGCTACTGCCTTTCATTCTATTGGCTTTTGAAAGCCAATAGAATAGACTCTCTTGAATAGAGTCTAATTCTATTGGCTTTCAAAAGCCAATAGGAATTGTCCAGGCTGTCTCTGCCCTGCTGAGCCCACCAAAAGTCCCATTCTGCAAACAGTGCTGCACCTGTTGAGTAGTCCTTGACTTACGACCGGTTGGGGGTCGCGGCATTAAAAAGGTTGAGAACCACTGATCTAAATGATGATACTGCAATTGCCACAACACTAAAATGCTAATCAGTAGGATATCCAAACTTAAATCAGTTGAAGTGTTTCTTAACCCTTTACAGAATCACAAGCATGATCTTTGACATGATCTTTAACATGATCAACCTGCCCAATTCCATATTTCCATATTTCATTACAATCTAAAAGTGATCCCCCTTTGCTTTCTCCACTAATTAATCTTGTTGAAGAGGTGGCAATAAATCCTTAATCGATCAGCCTGCCCAATTCTATATTTCATTACAATCTAAAAGAGATCATTGTTCGCTTCTCCCACTAATGAATCTTGTTGAGGAGGTGGCAGGATTTTTTCATCCTTTGGTTCAAAGTTCTTCAGGTTGACCCCAAATTTATCAAAGAGAACGGTTGGGATATCAGAGTTCTGCAAGAAGGTTTCCGTACGTTCCCTTCCCATGGTGAAAATTAGGCGCTGGCCCAGGTAGGTCAGACGTCCACCACCGGCTTTGTGCAAAGAACAAAAGGATTTGCAGGTGAAGATAGAACAAGGTGAAGTCTGGTGGTAAAGACACATGTCAGAAAAGTCTTCTAGTTTCTTCTCCTCTAGGGTGAATTTATAGAGGAATCTCCCCCTCTCTCCAGAAATTTCCCGACGTTCCAGGACCCAGGTAGCTCCTTCCAGACTCAACCAAAATATGCCTGCTTCTTGAACTTGTTCCACCTCGGGCTTCATCTCTAATGGTTCCAGGAAACCTTCTCCAAACCCAACATCACACAGAAACTGCTGCCCATCCAAGTCTACCAAAATTATCAAGTGGTCCAACGGAGGACCGTAGCACTGCGTGAAGCGGTTCCAAACACGTGCAGCTATAATTTTGGTGTGGAATCCCAACACTTGCAGCAACCACTGGAAAAGTCCATTCAGCTCACAACAAAAACCACCCCGGTGGTTTTGAACAATCTTCTCATACAGACGAGGCAATTCCAGGCTGATGGGCTCTTTGCAATGGATGCTGAGGCTCTCAAAGGGTACTGAGAAGAGGTGGGAACGGTGGAGGTACTTGAGGGTCTCCAAAGAAGGGCAGGTAGAGACACCTTGGAATCCCATCCGTTTCAGGTAACATCCAACATCCATGTCTGACTGGATGGAAGATCTTGAATAGGGACGTTTCAAGATTCCTGCTTTACCTCTTTCCAAGATCTTGTTCCTTTGATTTCTTTCAGTAACGAAGCTCTAAACGGGGGTTGAGACTCCAAGACACTTCAGTTCCCAAGTCTCTTCTCCTTTCCTGCCTGATTTCCTTCCCCTCTTCCCCAAAACTTTTCCCTTGGAATTTCTGCTGTGAGTTTTGCTGTCTACACAGCAGCTGGTAGTTTCATTATGCCAGGGAAGCGAAAGAGGAAGTGAAAAAAGTCAGAACCTCCCACTTGCTTTATTTTGTAATTTATGTATATTAACCCTTTTTCCACCTCGGATGACTTTAGGGCATTGGATTTCTCAGGGAATACAATAGACCTGGAAGGGACCTTGGAGGTCTTCTAGTCCAGCCCCCTGCTCAAGCAGGAGAACCTATACCATCTCAGACAAGTGACTATCTAGCCTCTTCTTAAAAATCTTCAGTGTCCATGATTTCTGGAGGCAAGCTGTTCCAATGTTAGGGAATGTTCTGCTTTTCAGGTTTCTTTTGCAGAGATATTTCAGGAACGGAGATTTAACTGATCTTGCTTAACACATGAATATTTATGAGAGCAACCAAGCTTGATGCCATTATCTGTGCTGGGTCATGATAGAGGACTCTCTAAACTATTAAGGATCAAGCTGAGATGCTTTAGTTCTCAGTAAGAACACTTGATTGTGTGTTTGTATGCATGGATGTCTTCATTTGCTTACTGATTTGGATAATGATCTGAGACTATCCTCTGCTGTCGTACATGTACAATTTTCCTTCTCCTTCAGTCATTCAGTCACAACAGAATTTGCAGATAAATTTTACCTCATTCAAGGAACTTACTTTGCAGAATGTGGAAATGTTCTATATACATATGTTTTGATTTCACAAAAACAAAAAACAACATTTGCCAAAATACCACACAACAAGCCCATAAAGTGTGTGCTGAGTAGACTAACAGATTGAGCTCCTACATGGGTGACTTGCAAACAGACCTGTTCATCAGTCAGATTTATTCATTGACTTCATTTAATTTGGATAATAATAATAATAATAATAATAATAATAATAATCCACACAGTGACATTGACAGACTTTATCTACCAAGGCAAATAGGTGGGCATGGAATGCTACAAGTACATCAGATGGTTGAAGAAGAAAAAATGGCTTTGGAAGAATATCTGAAGAACTATGATGAAGATGCACTGAAATTAGTATACCAGGAAGGCTTACTGACTATTGGAGAGACCAAACTGGCCTACAAGAAAGACCAAATGAAGAACAGAATAAAAGCATGGGAAGACAAAGCACTACATGGCCAATACATTAAAAAAAAAAAAGCTGGGAAAGCAGATAACAACAAGACCTGGCAATGGCTAAGAGCAGGAAAATTGAAGAAAGAGACCGAGGGACTAATTCTGGCTGCACAAGACCAAGCCTTAAGGACAAATGCATACAAAGTCAAAATTGAGAAGACAGCAACAGACAGTAAGTGCAGTTGTGGTCCTTTGGCAAGGACTTCCTGTATATAAAATACTTAGAAGGTATTTTACTTTTTAGAAGATATTTACTATAAAGTTTAAGGTAAAGATTTTCCTTTGTCCAGTTGTGTCTGACTCTAGGGCAGTGGTTCTCAACCTGTGGGTCGGGACCCCATTTGGGGTCGAACGACCATTTCATGGGGGTCGCCAAACAAGGCTGTCCGCCATTTTTTTCCCCTTTTCTTTGGCCACGCCCCTGGCACCCAGTGATGTATAAGTGGTTGGGGGTCACCACAACATGGGGAACTGAATTATGGGGTCGCGGCATTAGAAAGGTTGAGAACCACTGCTCTAGGGGATGAGGCTTATCTCCGTTTCTTAGCTGAGGAAGCCAGCATTGTCCAAATACACTTCTGTGATTATGTGGCCAGCATGACTATATGCTGAGGGGCAAGGAATGCTGTTAGCTTCCCACCAGACTGGCACCTCTTTATCTACACTCATTTGCATGAGAGCTGAAGAAGCTTCTTGGATGAGAAGTGAAACGTCTTCGAAGAAAAATAAAGTCCAGTTGCCTTGTGAAAAAGCATCCTTGGGATAACTATGACCTGGATGACTGAGAATCTCCATAGACCAGGGCTTTTCAGCCTTTTCACCCATTGTACCACTTTTAGGATATGGCAACAGCCGAGTACCACCAGTTGCCTAACCAGGTGTCAAAAACCTGATGACCAAAAAAAAAAAAAAAAAAGGAAAAAAGTGATGAAGTACAGGTAGTCCTCGACTTACAACAGTTCGCTTAGTGACTGTTCGAAGTTACAATGGCACTGAAAAAGTGCCCCCCAAGCCACAACTGAGGAAGACACCTGCCTGCCCACCTGGCGGCGCTCTTCCTCCTGTCCAAGGTTTTCATTGTTGTGAGCATTTCTGTTGAGGATTGGCAGTGGGGGTGGGGTGGGGGTGTTTGGTTTTTATTCCTCCCGTCTGCTGGGTGGTTGCAGCAGGTTTTGGTCACTTCACATGACCCTGGGACGGTGTGACCGTCATAAATATGAATCAGTTGCCAAACATCTGAGTGTAAATCACAAGACCCTGGAGATGCTGCAACATTCCAGCTGATCGGCTCTTTGGGGCTCAGCAGAAGTGCCAGGATCAGCGTCAAACTCCAGCTGGAGCCTGGCGCTGATCCTGGTGCTTCCACTGAGCCCTGATAGCCCCGAAGAAGCGTTGATCCTGGCGCTTCCACTGAGCCCTGACAGCCCTGCAGCTCCAGCCATCTCTCGCTCAGGCTTGTGCGGTGCTGCCACCGGTTCAGCTCATTCCCCACCGGTTACCACTTTTCTAGGATGGTTGCATACCACCTGCCAGGTGCCAATGTACCACAGGTGGTACCCATACCACTGGTTGAAAAACCTTGCCATAGACATCTCTCATTTGCATGCTTTTGAATGGCTAGGTTGGAAAGACCTGGGGCAAGGAATTGGAGATCACTCTGTTTTTGCAGTGCTTGGGTCCAGAACCTGTGTTGTCAGCTCTCCAGATGATAAGCTCAGAGTTTTTAACTGCTAAGCCACCCCGCACCCTTTACAACAGGGGTCTCCAACCTGTGGGCCATGACCCACTAGCAGTCTGTGGCCTATTTATACCTGGGCCATGTGAGTGGCTGGCTGGTGTGTGTGCTCATATATGGACAGCTCCACTCATGACATTGTGGATGCTTGGGCCCTCACTCGCATGAACATCGCAAGCACTCGGGGCCCCACTGGTGCAGGTATTGGGGCTTGTGGCCCCACTCACGTGAACATCACAGGCCCAGTCACCAGACTGTTGCAGGCCTCGCTCACATGAGCATCATGGATGCTCTCGGCTTTACTTGCATAAGCAACAGGTACTTGTGCACATGCATGTGCCTGCCTGTCCCATGAAACCATCCCCCCTCCCCCCTTCCCCCTCCTGGCCGCCAGCTGGGAAAGGCTGGGAAACTTTGTTTTAGAAGATCTATATCTTGCTTGTTTAATGAAAGAATCAAAGTATATATTACAAGGACACTGCTAGATCAGTTTGCTGGTTAATCCCTGATAAAAAATACTTGATCTCAGAGCAATAAAAATAATACATTTTATCAATTTCTGGTTGTAATCTATCACAATTTACCCATACTACATAATTTCAGCCTCTGCCTTATCAATTACAAATTGATTCTAAGAAATAGTCATGTTTTGTTTTTAAAAATAATTATTATTGTTGGGAAGTTCAAAAATCCCTTTTGCTTGTATTTTGCTGAATTAATCCATTGGGAGCCAAGCTGCTGAAATAACAACCAAGAATTCGACAATGCTCTTGTAACAAGAACTCAAAGGGATCGACCCAATCTCCATGGAAAAATCTGTATATTTCATTATTTTACTGATTACTAAAACTTTATCAAGCCAGAGAAAAAGAGAGGAGAGAAACTCTTCTCATTAGCACACTGCTCATCATCTGCTTCATTAGTATGTCTTGTTATGTTGAACCTCAACTTCAAAATTAACCTATTCTAGTGGTGTTGAACCTATGGCACGGGTGCCAGAGGTGGCACTCAGAGCCCTCTCTGTGGATACGCGCGCCGTCGCCCCAGCCCTAGGTCTTCAGCTGGGTTTTATAAAACCTTTTTGCTCTAAGCCTCCACTGCCATGTGCAAAAAAAAAAAAAAAGTTCAGTCAATCAGTTAATTTCAACTTCTCACTGGAAAAAAAAGATCTTGCAAAGTTGGAATTGATTGATTGAACTTTTTAGTCCCACCCAGTCTGCCGTTACCACCACAGCCATGTCCACCCAATGGGCCACACACCCCAAATTGGCCACACCCAGCCAATGGGCCACACCCACCTGGCACCCGATGATGCATAAGTGGATTTTGGGTTGCAGTTTGGACACTCAGTCTCTAAAAGATTCTCCATCACTGACCTATTCTTGGTTATGGAAACCTGTCTGGCATAGAAAGAAGGCCAGAATAAGACTGAAAAGAGAAATTTAAAATTATGTGTAATCGATTAAAAGGCACTGTTGACTTATGGATTGTTTTAAGGATTAAGATTCAGAGTTAGAAATAAGAAAAAAAATAGGGGGTGATTATTAGAACAGATATCTTAAAATAGATTAAGAATGTAATTTGTGGAATAATAGGTTTATTTTGATGAAAATTATGTATTGGAATGGAAAAAATGGTGGCTTTTTAGATTTGGATTGTTTCAATAATTAATTGAGTGTTTTAAATCAGTAAGATGATGTTTTTGTATGATAATATAGATGTGATAAGGCATGATAATGAATTGGATGAAATTTGAATTTTGTTTAATGAACTGAAACGATTTAAGGCTTAATATTATTTGTGGGATTAATTGCATCTGCCCATGGACATCTCCCACAAGGGCCTGAGATAACTGTTTCAGACACAGGATACATTCATCAGCCTTTTGGACAGACTCTGATAAGAACACCTGCAGTAGCCTTGCATCTGGAGAGTGTCTGTTATTTGATACATTGTAACCACCCCTATATACGTCTTTTGATTATGCTGTGTGATGTAAAAACCTTAGTAACAATAAAAGAGGGTGCTGGAGTCAGCTCTGGGCTCTCATCCCGAGATACCTGTCTGCGTGTCTCATTTTCCATGGGAGACCACCACATCTGGTGACCCCGACGTGATCCACTGAAGGATACGTCCCTGCCAACCCTTTACTTATCGCCTGGAATAGGCTTGGTG